CTGAAGGACCTGTCTCCCACTCTACTATAATCAAGACATGGGTGGAATAAATCATGTTTATCTTGAAACAAATATAAATTAAACAAGGTTTTCATCACTATTGATGTTTATTGCTTTGAACTGAACTGAACAAATTGGACGGACAAATTTTACATACAGTATTTTATGGAAATGATAAATGAGCCCCATTGAACACAAATTAAGGCCGGTCTACACACATTTTACACTTACATTTTAGTCATTTAGCAGACGCTCTTATCCAGAGCAACTTACAGTTAGTGAGTGCATACACCACATGAGGGACAGTTTTACTGTGTGTGTGTTGCAAATGTATTTCTTGCACTTGATGCATGTGTACTGTGTCTTCCTGTCCTTCTTGGGTCCACACACATCGCAGCACTTCTTCTTGTTGCTACCGGCTGCAATCTAGAATGATGAAAACACTTAGTTCAGGAATTTTGCTAACATCTCACCCACTCACATATATAGTTACAGCATGCCAATGTAGGAGAGTCAGACACACAATCATGCAACAACATCACTCACACTTACTTCCAGTATTAGAGTTGTTGGTTCTGTGGGTCGGGCGAATGGGGCACCAGCATCCTCCTCCTGAATCCTCCTCACGATGGCTGCAGAAGCTGGGGTCCTTGGGATATGTTACCTCCTCTGGATTTGAGGTCTTACCAATGCCTTGCGCAGCTCCTCCAGAAAGAGCCATCTCCTCTGGAGCTTCCCCCTGTTCCAATCTGGGTTCAACGCCATCCAGATGACAAACGCGTTGTACGCCGAGATGTCCAAGATGTTGAAGAATATCACAAGCGACCAGTATAAGGTTCTTCTTTTGCAGCTGTAGCCAGTCACTAGCTTGTCTAAATTGTCCACCCCTCCTTTGTGGCATTGTAATCCATTATGATTTCTGGTTTTGATGTTCCTTGCCACAGATTCTCCCATCCCTATGCAGCGTATTCATGAGTACCACATTTTTGCCTTTCTTTGGCACGTAGGAAACTAGGGACGTGTCGGCCGTGAACACAAACTTAGAGGAATTGACAGGCCTGTTCCGTGTATTCAACAGCTGAGGTGGGAGCTCTGGCTTGTTTTTTCGTACTGTTCCTACCATCATCAGCTTCCTCTTGAGGAGCTCCTGTCCCAGCTTGAGCGAAGTAAAAAAGTTATCGCATGTGATGTTGTGGCCACAGAGTCCCTGTGTCACGTCCAGGACAACCCACATCCCTTGGTTCTTCTCAGGGTCTCCTCCATCTGGCTTCCCTGTATACACTTGTAAGTTCCCCGCATATGATGACATATGGGTTTAGATGGTATGTACTGCCTGAAGGGGCAGCGGCCCCTAAATGGCATAAACTACTCATCAATAGTAACGTTGGGTCCAGGGTTGTAAAACAGGGGAAGGCGGTCCAGAGACATGATCCTCATATCGGAAAATTCTTAATCTTCCAAAGTGGAAGACGCTCTTCCCACACTAGCTTCTCTCTCTGAGCAGAGATTATTTTTGCCATACTGATTGATTGTGGTAAAGAGCCACACATTCAAAGCTATTTATTTGTTGTGTCCCTCCCCCAATTTGCACCTGGCTGGGGTAGTGTATCGAAATAATGTATTGACATAATGTATTGTAATAACATTGTGCAAGTCCCCGCAAGACATTGTGAGGTTTCACACGCTACAAAGGGTAAAGAGTGCAAGAAAAGTGGGAGACAGCACCAAGAACCTGCAAGTCTGCCTATGTTGAAACAGCAGGCCTAGGGAGGAAGACAGAGTGAATGCACACAGCAAACCTTTTTGTTTCATTTTTACTTGTTTTCACCTACACACACACACACACACACACTTTTATTACCCTCGGGTCTAGTGGACCGAACACCACATACAGTGGGGGAAAAAAGTATTTAGTCAGCCACCAATTGTGCAAGTTCTCCCACTTAAAAAGATGAGAGAGGCCTGTAATTTTCATCATAGGTACACGTCAACTATGACAGACAAAATGAGGAAAAAAAATCCAGAAAATCACATTGTAGGATTTTTAATGAATTTATTTGCAAATTATGGTGGAAAATAAGTATTTGGTCAATAACAAAAGTTTCTCAATACTTTGTTATATACCCTTTGTTGGCAATGACACAGGTCAAAAGTTTTCTGTAAGTCTTCACAAGGTTTTCACACACTGTTGCTGGTATTTTGGCCCATTCCTCCATGCAGATCTCCTCTAGAGCAGTGTTGTTTTGGGGCTGTCACTGGGCAACACGGACTTTCAACTCCCTCCAAAGATTTTCTATGGGGTTGAGATCTGGAGACTGGCTAGGCCACTCCAGGACCTTGAAATGCTTCTTACGAAGCCACTCCTTCGTTGCCCGGGCGGTGTGTTTGGGATCATTGTCATGCTGAAAGACCCAGCCACGTTTCATCTTCAATGCCCTTGCTGATGGAAGGAGGTTTTCACTCAAAATCTCACGATACATGGCCCCATTCATTCTTTCCTTTACACGGATCAGTCGTCCTGTTCCCTTTGCAGAAAAACAGCCCCAAAGCATGATGTGTCCACCCCCATGCTTCACAGTAGGTATGGTGTTCTTTGGATGCAACTCAGCATTCTTTGTCCTCCAAACACGACGAGTTGAGTTTTTACCAAAAAGGTTCTATTTTGGTTTCATCTGACCATATGACATTCTCCCAATCCTCTTCTGGTTCATCCAAATGCACTCTAGCAAACTTCAGACGGGCCTGGACATGTACTGGCTTAAGCAGGGGGACACGTCTGGCACTGCAGGATTTGAGTTCCTGGCGGCGTAGTGTGTTACTGATGGTAGGCTTTGTTACTTTGGTCCCAGCTCTCTGCAGGTCATTCACTAGGTCCCCCCGTGTGGTTCTGGGATTTTTGCTCACCGTTCTTGTGATCATTTTGACCCCACGGGGTGAGATCTTGCGTGGAGCCCCAGATCGAGGGAGATTATCAGTGGTCTTGTATGTCTTCCATTTCCTAACAATTGCTCCCACAGTTGATTTCCTCAAACCAAGCTGCTTACCTATTGCTGATTCAGTCTTCCCAGCCTGGTGCAGGTCTACAATTTTGTTTCTGGTGTCCTTTGACAGCTCTTTGGTCTTGGCCATAGTGGAGTTTGGAGTGTGACTGTGAGGTTGTGGACAGGTGTCTTTTATACTGATAACAAGTTCAAACAGGTGCCATTAATACAGGTAACGAGTGGAGGACAGAGGAGCCTCTTAAAGAAGAAGTTACAGGTCTGTGAGAGCCAGAAATCTTGCTTGTTTGTAGGTGACCAAATACTTATTTTCCACCATAATTTGCAAATAAATTCATTAAAAATCCTACAATGTGATTTTCTGGATTTTTTTTCTCAATTTGTCTGTCATAGTTGATGTGTACCTATGATGAAAATTACAGGCCTCTCTCATCTTTTTAAGTGGGAGAACTTGCACAATTGGTGGCTGACTAAATACTTTTTTTCCCCACTGTATGTAATATAAATGTGTAGAGGGGTGCACAGTGTGCACTCAATGAAAATGTGTTATTTTACATGTTCTTCACAGAAAATGAGCCAAGGCCAATGAGTCTCAGGTTGACAAAATAATTCATTGTATCATTTTTATTTTCTTTTAGGTCCCACAGACCCGAACACCACACAAGGGTTAAAGAACAGCTTCATACAAACTGCCATAAAGTCCCTGAAAAGACTGCTGTGTGACGTTCTGTTATAACGGTCTGTCTTTGTTATACTGAGAAAAAAAAGGCTGGCCCAGAATCAGATAGTAGCCACAGGACACCGTGAATATTGCAGATCAGGTTGTTGTGAGGCTGCCTAGAGACATTAATATTTCATACTACACTGAAAACCATCTGTCTAGCTTTATTCATGACCAATGGTGTCATTCACACAGCAGGCCAACACAGCCAAGTCCAACACAGTACAGTCCAGCCCATTTCCCAGGCCTCTCAGCCTGTATTGATGGATCTGTTGGGTAGGATTCAATAGCTGGAACAAGCTATCGAATCCTGTGTCCATTGAAATGCCTGGTGACCGCGCTGCAATTCCAGCGGTGGCTCATTCATCACCGCTTACAGAAAAACCTAAAGTAATTTCAGAGCAGCACGTGTAAAATGAGACTTTCTAAGATTAATTTCTCTCTTCCATTTTGCCCTCCAATCCCTCTTGCTTTGGACAACAACTTAGCATGACACAGGGCAATGTAAAGCACCACATAGGCCTAGGTAAGGGAACATTGAAAATGGCACCATCTTGGCCAGGGATGGGCAATTTACTGTTGAGAGTTAGAATAGTAGAATACACAAGGTGCGATTTCTAAATTTGGTTGTGCATCAGCAGTTTTTCTTTTGTTATGTCATTCACTGATAGTCACTCAATTAGCCCATTTCAGCTAACATTTTTTAGATTGGTAAATTAGCTAGCCGCTAGACTATCTAAACTTAGCAATCATGGTGGAATTACAGGCCGGGGGGGCCCCGTTGATTTTGTTAGTCAGTCTCACTCGGATATCATATTAAAAACATTTATCTTCACCTTATGGCAAAATGTGTAGAATTGCCTGAAATTAGTTATAAAAATGCTAAATCTTCTCTCCACCCACGGCAAAACGTAAAAATGATCTCCACTGTCAAGAGGGGAGCCGCTAAAATGTTTCGCTCGCAATATGTGGGGGGGGGGGGTATGGATGTGGGTACGCAGACCCGCGAGCAACTGCGGCCCCTCATGATGAGTTTAGCTTTTTTTATGGCCCCCACCCCCATTCAAGTTGCCCAGGCCTAACAACTGTCTAGGTACTAAACAGGCCGATTATAGATGAAAAACAGCACGACTGCCACCTCAAACACCTCCATCTGTTGCCCAACCACTTTCACACTCACAAAAGTGCTTCATACATTAGACTCCGGTCTCTTGCTCTATTAAAGGCCAGGTGGAAAATGAAGGGGGCTAGGTGTGGCTGAGGCCAGGGGGACAGTCAGGTCAGGACATGTTGTAGAGACCCTCTGGGAGTTTACAGGCAAACACATCATCTATAAAAGGATGAATCTCTCAGGGGATTCATTAAATTAAGATACTGAGAAACATTTCCATTGTGTACTTCCCCTCTTCTATTTTGAAGAGCGAGTTCTGCGTATGATACTTATTTTTAGGCTTTTGTTCAGTCCCTCATTGTACGCACTTGTGAGTCCCTTCGGAGTTGAACGTTTGACAACTGACAGCATTTTATGATGAAACTGTTGTGTCCTTAAATGACCAGGTTGCCCTGCTACTCAGGTGGGTGCAAAGCATTCTGTATGGTTGGAGTAATGAACAGTTTGTATGGCTGGGGTAAGAGAGGGAGGAAGTCTAACAAAACTCATGTATAGGCCCCATAGAGAGCTACATACTTCCGAAACAGCTGGAACATTTCCATACACATGATCAACATCAAAACGATAAATAAAATACAAATGCACTTCCCCCTCACATCTGTGTCAATTATAGCTAGCACTTAACTGTGCATATCATATAAGGTCCAGTGGTCCACACACACAATCATATTCACACAAACTGCCCATCTTCAAGTGAAGACTCCAGCAGCCCCCTGCAGATATAACAGTTCCTCCGACGGAGGAATAGCTACTTGGTGACTCTGAATCAACCTTTGTTTACTGTGTTCTGAGCAGCTTTCTCCAAAGAAGCCACACGTGTGTGTGCACGCACACACACACCTCTGCAATTTAGACGGGCAGAAAAACATCTATTCAACCTCAGGTTAGCCTTCAATTGCTAGTTGAAGGGGCAAGCAGCTTGGCAAACACCAATGTTGAACTGAAGAACCATGTTCAAAGTCCTCTGGAAAATGTATCGGATTCTTCAGTAAATTGGTCTTGCAGAACTGAAAGCTCAGTCACTTCAGACAGTGGAACACAGCGCATTCATTCCTACTCCTTCCCCTCTCAGCCTGTTGACTTTGTACGGTTCCTTTGAGTGTGTTTTCATGTGAGCGGTTAACTTTTTCTTCAGGCCTCTTCACATCACTTCAGGCCCAGGCATTGTTAACCAGTCTAGTGTGAATGGCACACTTCTGGTTCTTGAGACATGACAAAAAAGTTTTGGAAAAAAGCGCTGATCCACATGTCCGTGAAGTCTGTCAATCTCAAGATCTTCTCCTGGATGTTGCTTCTTCTAATAGGAATTCAGGATTTCTTGGAATTCTGGCTTGTGCTTCAGGTGCATTCATTTCTAAAGGGCACCTTATGTAATTTTTACACTGAAACCTTGTTTCGCTATGACTTAAATGGATAACTGACTGACCGTGATCTTATACAGTGCATTCGGAAAGTATTCAGACCCCTTGACTTGTTCCACATTTTGCTACGTTACAGCCTTATTCTAAAATTGATTAAATTGTTTTTTCCCCCTCCTCAATCTACACACAATACCCCATAATGGGCCCAGTGTAGCTCAGTTGGTAGAGCATGGCGCTTGCAACGCCAGGGTTGTGGGTTCGATTCCCACGGGGGGCCAGTATGAAAAAAATAAAAAAAACATGTATGCACTCACTAACTAAGTCGCTCTGGATAAGAGCATTATTAAAAATGTAAAACTGAAATATCACATTTACATAAGTACTCAGACCCTTTACTCAGTACTTTGTTGAAACACCTTTGGTAGCGATTATAGCCTAAAGTCTTCTTGGGTATGATACTACAAGCTTGGCACACCTGTATTTGGGGCATTTCTCCCATTCTTCTCTGCAGATACTCTCAAGCTCTGTCAGGTTGGATGGGGAGCGTCGCTGCACAGCTATTTTCAGGTCTCTCCAGAGATGTTCGATCGGGTTCAAGTTCGGGCTCTGGCTAGGCCACTCAAGGACATTCAGAGACTTGTCCTGAAGCCACTCCTGTGTTGTCTTGGATGTCTGCTTAGGGTCGTTGTACTGTTGGAAGGTGAACCTTCTCCCCAGTCTGAGGTCCTGAGCGCTCTGGAGCAGGTTTTCATCAAGGATCTCTCTGTACTTTGCTCCGTTCATCTTTCCCTCGATACTGAAAAGCCTCCCAGTCCCTGCCGCTGAAAAACATCCCACAGCATCATGCTGCCACCACCAAGCTTCACCGTAGGGATGGTGCCAGGTTTCCTCCAGACGTGACGCTTGGCATTCAGGCCAAAGAGTTCAATCTTGGTTTCATCAGACCAGAGAATCTTGTTTCTCATGGTCTAAGAGTCCTTTAGGTGCCTTTTGGCAAACTCCAAGCGGGCTGTCATGTGCCTTTTACAGAGGAGTGGCTTCCGTCTGGCCACTCTACCATAAAGGCCTGATTGGTGGAGTGGTGCAGAGATGGTTGTCCTTCTGGAAGGTCCTCCCATATCCACAGAGGAACTCTGGAGCTCTGTCAGAGCGACCATCGGGTTCTTGGTCACCTCCCTGACCAAGGCCCTTCTTCCCCGAATTGCTCAGGTTGGCCGGACGGCCAGCTCTAGGAAGAGTCTTGGTGGTTCCAAACTTCTTCCATTTATGAATGATGGAGGCCACTATGTTCTTGGGGACCTTCAATGCTGCAGACATTTTTTGGTACCCTTCCCCAGATCTGTCCCTCGACCCAATCCTGTCTCTGAGCTCTACGGACAATTCATTCGACCTCATGGCTTGGTTTCTTCTCTGACACGCACTGTCAACTGTGGGACCTTATATAGACAGGTGTGTGCCTTTCCAAATCATGTCCAATCAATTGAATTTACCACAGGTGGACTCCAATCAAGTTGTAGAAACAGCTCAAGGATGATCAATGGAAACAAAAGGGTCTGCAAAGGGTCTGAATACTTACGTAAATAAGGCTTGTTTTTTTAATGTACATTTGCTAAAATTTCAAATAACCTGTTTTTGCTTTGTCATCACGGGGTATTGTAGGTAGATTGATGAGGATTTTTTAAATTTTTTATCCATTTTAGAATAAGGCTGTAACATAACAAAATGTGGAAAAAGTCAAGGGCTCTGAATACTTTCTGAATGCACTGTAACATCTTGTTGGAAAAGCATGATTTGAAAAGCATTTATTGAACTCTTCCACTCCCAATGCTTCCTTATTGCTGTAAGGAAGGAACACAACAAACTATTGTTCCAAAGCCCCCTCTTGTTTTATGAAAGTGATTCATAGTAGGGCCACTGTGCGTGTGTGTGTGTCAAGGGAAAGGTGTTGTGTAGTGAGCATTGATTTGGTCTAGGGCGGTATACCATATTTTAATCATTAATCATTATATTTCCACGATTCCAACAGTTCACCCAAGTGTTTCGATCTAAATCGCAAGTCAAATAGATGTTTGCCCATATCGTGCAGCCCTACAAGGCAGTGTCGAAATTATCTCAAATGAGATCAACTTTTGGTTGAAGTTTGATTGAATGGTATAAAACAAATCACAATGGAGAAAGCCCCATTGAAATCACTTACAATTGATGTGTTCCCTCCCTAGGGTCATACACAACTCATAAAGCAAATGTATAACTTTTATTATTATTCAAAAACATAAAATACGGTCATACCATAAAAAAAATATATATATATATATACTGTGGGGAGAACAAGTATTTGATACACTGCCGATTTTGCAGGTTTTCCTACTTACAAAGCATGTAGAGGTCTGTAATGTTTATCATACACTTCAACTGTGAGAGACGGAATCTAAAACAAAAATCCAGAAAATCACATTGTATGATTTTTAAGTAATTCATTTGCATTTTATTGCATGACATAAGTATTTGATCACCTACCAACCAGTAAGAATTCCGGCTCTCACAGACCTGTTAGTTTTTCTTTAAGAAGCCCTCCTGTTCTCCACTCATTACCTGTTTGAACTCGTTACCTGTATAAAAGACACCTGTCCACACACTCAATCAAACAGACTCCAACCTCTCCATAATGGCCAAGACCAGAGAGCTGTGTAAGGACATCAGGGATAAAATTGTAGACCTGCACAAGGCTGGGATGGGCTACAGGACAATAGGCAAGCAGCTTGGTGAGAAGGCAACAACTGTTGGCGCAATTATTAGAAAATGGAAGAAGTTCAAGATGACGGTCAATCACCCTCGGTCTGGGGCTCCATGCAAGATCTCACCTCGTGGGGCATCAATGATCATGAGGAAGGTGAGGGATCAGCCCAGAACTACACGGCAGGACCTGGTCAATGACCTGAAGAGAGCTGGGACCACAGTCTCAAAGAAAACCATTAGTAACACACTACGCCGTCATGGATTAAAATCCTGCAGCGCACGCAAGGTTCCCCTGCTCAAGCCAGCGCATGTCCAGGCCCGTCTGAAGTTTGCCAATGACCATCTGGATGATCCAGAGGAGGAATGGGAGAAGGTCATGTGGTCTGATGAGACAAAAATAGAGCTTTTTGGTCTAAACTCCACTCGCCGTGTTTGGAGGAAGAAGAAGGATGAGTACAACCCCAAGAACACCATCCCAACCGTGAAGCATGGAGGTGGAAACATCATTCTTTGGGGATGCTTTTCTGCAAAGGGGACAGGACGACTGCACCGTATTGAGGGGAGGATGGATGGGGCCATGTATTGCGAGATCTTGGCCAACAACCTCTTTCCCTCAGTAAGAGCATTGAAGATGGGTCGTGGCCGGGTCTTCCAGCATGACAACGACCCGAAACACACAGCCAGGGCAACTAAGGAGTGGCTCCGTAAGAAGCATCTCAAGGTCCTGGAGTGGCCTAGCCAGTCTCCAGACCTGAACCCAATAGAAAATCTTTGGAGGGAGCTGAAAGTCCGTATTGCCCAGCGACAGCCCCGAAACCTGAAGGATCTGGAGAAGGTCTGTATGGAGGAGTGGGCCAAAATCCCTGCTGCAGTGTGTGCAAACCTGGTCAAGACCTACAGGAAACGTATGATCTCTGTAATTGCAAACAAAGGTTTCTGTACCAAATATTAAGTTCTGCTTTTCTGATGTATCAAATACTTATGTCATGCAATAAAATGCAAATTAATTACTTAGAAATCATACAATGTGATTTTCTGGATTTTTGTTTTAGACGCCGTCTCTCATAGTTGAAGTGTACCTATGATAAAATTTACAGACCTCTACATGCTTTGTAAGTAGGAAAACCTGCAAAATCGGCAGTGTATCAAATACTTGTTCTCCCCACTGTATATAGTGATATGATATTTTGGCCATATTGCCCAGCCCTAATTTGGCCCCAAAAGCCCGGCTACTGGCTGAGCCCCATGCTGTCCTTCCAGCAGGGCGTTAAAAGCGCTCAACCAGAGGGGACTGCCATCATCCATTCACACTGAGGGACGCTGAAGCGTCCTGCGACAATCGAACAGAACACTTCCCTCCCTGGGAGAGCGTTCCATGCCATGTGTCCTTCAGGCCCCTGCCAGTCTACCTTAAAGCTTCCGCATGCTTCGGCTAGGCAAACCGAACAAGTGTGCTTTAGATTCCGTCTCTCACAGTTGAAGTGTACCTATGATAAAATTTACAGACCTCTACACGCTTTGTAAGTAGGAAAACCTGCAAAAATCGGCAGTGTATCAAATACTTGTTCTCCCCACTGTAACTAACATGTTTGGTGCAGTTTGCGGACGCCTTTATCCAGCTGTGTGCACCCCTACCCTCAACACACATACCCTCAGTTCCCCCCTCCTGCCTCTCCCCAAGCACCCTGTGAGGCGACACAGAATAAACGAGTGTATACATTTGACTGAATTTTAAGTGTGTAAAAAACAGTGTAGGCTATGTTTATGTAAGAGGGAGAGAGAGTGCATGTGTGTGAATGAGAGAATGTATGAGTGTATTTGAGCATGAAAGAGTATGCATGTGTGAGAGAGAAAGAGAGTAAGAGTGTTTGCAAAACACTCCTCAGTCTCCCATTGAGAGCCCTATCAGTGCCCACTCACTAGTCATGGCTCACTGAGGGTTAGAGAGAGAGACCGGTTGAGGAAATAAGCAACCGTGCAGAGACAGACAGACAGACAGGAAGGTGTTATTTAGAGGCTAGCTGTCTACTCCACACAGCCTTCTGGGACTCGGACTCCGTTAGAATACATTAACGCAGATTAGTCATAGTCTGTTCCCAGATCTGTTTGTGCTTTTGCCTACTCCATTGTCAGGACAACCTGTTTTGCATGAGCATTCCATAAGAGACTGACTGGAACAGACTGGCACCCGGGCTAGATTAGTCATCCACCAAGCACATAACTTCAGATTGAGCTGGTCACCTTGGGATATACTTTGGGGCACTTTCTGTCAGTCATCCCAAAAAATAAAAATAAATAAATAAATATTGCAGTAAACATCTGATACAGAGTGTGGGAGCAAAAAACACCCAACAACCAATTAATATAGTGTGTGAAACAGAACTTCATAGTTTTAAACAGTCATGGTCAAAAACATGTTATCTGCCAAGACATCTTCTTCTGATGGTATCAACTGTGGAGTTGGACATACTGTAAATACCTATGAAAAAGTTAAACATTCAGATTTGTCTTTGTAACTAAAGCAACCCTTACCTGTGGGCATGATGTGGTGCATGGCCACGGACAGGAAGAAGATGGCGTCGCTGTAGTAGGCCCCGGAGCCGGCGCTGAAGTGCTTCTGCATGGCCTCCACAATGGGGAAGAGCTTCTGGGTCAGGACCCCCACGTCATGGAACACCACCTTCACCACAAACACACAAATGAGGGCAGTCAGTCATATTCGAAAAATGTCATTCAAGTCATTCACACTTGATATTGTCAATTGCACAAGACACATGCCCATGACATTAATGACATTATTATCTGGATGCGCATAAGGGTTCAACACTTTCAAGCAAGAGCCCCCTGTCCCACTTCCCCTCTTCCTCAGCAGGTCACTCTCCCAGCTCCCATGAAACCCTGCTGCCCCCGGTGGCCCTAATCCCACAGTGCAGGGCAGGGATTTGGCAGAAAAGCACCAGAGGTCCCCACTCCCCAGTCAGATCATGTCGATCTCCCTCCAGATTAATGAAAGAGGATTTTGCAGTCATTTATTACTGCAGAAACAAACATGTTCAAATGTGTTCCAGATTATGTCTCGGTTAAATGCTACTGCATTGAAGTGTGTGTGTGGTAAAGGTTGGGATTAGACATATTTAAAAGGAGGTGTGTGATTGGGACGTGCACACATCATTTAATGTTCCATAACTGATTAAGGTAAGCCTCCCCTACGTCGGCAATAAAAACAGCCCTGGAGATAGTATAGTGGAACAACAGCACGTAGGCCTAGCTTTGGAAACAGCTAACTGTTACGTTAGCCCATTTTTCAGTACATGACAGTATTGTTATGTAGACTACCCACTAACCACAGTGCAATTAAAGACCATCACATGAATTGTAGCTTTAATTAATTAAATCTTCTAAACCTAACTGGGTGAAAACTGAGTGTTGTGCTGATTTTGCCTTTCCCAAATGACTTGCAGCTGAGAGCACCTCGGCTTAGAAAATGCGGGAATGAGAGCAGCAAATTAAACATTTATATTACTTTTATTTATAGATTTTGCTTGTATATTTAATAGATTACAGTCTTTTTTAAGAGCTATGGATGAATAATTCAGATAGTAAACAAGACGGGGCAGAACCACTCACAACAACCCACATGTACTAAATAGCCTAATACAGGAGAAGTGTAGGAGATTCCTCAGTTATACTGAACCAACATACAACTTACATTCTATTTCGACTTTATAGAACACAACATAAAGGAAAGGTTAGGCAAAGTGAAGCAGCAGAGAATAGACTCACCTAACATAAAATAGGCTGTCTACGATTGTCATTGTGATTATACACTGAACAAAAATATAAAACGCAACATGTAAAGTGTTGGTCCCATGTTTCATAAGCTGATATAAAAAGATCCCAGAAATGCTCCATACGCACAAAAAGCTTATTTCTCTCAAATGTTGTGCACAAATTTGTTTACACCCCTGTTAGTGAGCATTTATCCTTTGCCAAGATAATCCATCCACCTGACAGGTGTGGCATATGAAGAAGTTGATTAAACGGCATGATCATTACACAGGTGCACCTTGTGCTGGGGACAAAAGTCCATTCTAAAATGTGCAATTTTGTCACACAACACAATGCAACAGATGTCTCAAGTTTTGATGGAGCGTGCAAGCCGCCTCCAACATTGTTTTAGAGAATTTGGCAGTACGTCCAACCGGCCTCACAACCGCAGACCATGTGTATGGCGTCGTGTGGGTGATCGGTTTGCTGATGTCAACGTTGTGAACAGAGTGCCCTATTGTGGCGGTGGGGTTATGGCATGGGCAGGCATAAACTAAAGACAACACAATTGCATTTTATTGATGGCAATTTGAATACACAAAAATATTGTGACGACATCCTGAGGCCCATTGTGAGGCCCATTTTTTTTTAAAGGTATCTGTGACCAACAGATGCATATCTGTATTCCCAGTCATGTGAAATCCATAGATTAGGGTCTAATTCATTCATTTCAATTGACTGATTTCCTCATATGAACTGTAACTCAGTAAATGTTTGTTCAGTATAGATTAAATCAAGAAAACGTTGAATCTAAACCGAACAATGCAGACTGAACCAAGTTGCTTACTATAGCCATTGAGCACAACTAAATCCAATTGCTTACTAAAGCCAATAAGAAGAGCATGTTCTGAGTTGGATAGTTGACTAACTACATTACAGCCAACAGAGGAGAGGTTAAGCCTCCTTTACGCACAAAGCACTGGGATAATTACTTACTTGAGGAGAGGGGAGCTTTATCAAATTAAAAGGCCACTCTGTATTAAATCCTATGGGACATTAGCGCAGAGGCAGCTGGCTGTCAGTCTGTAGCAGGCTGATTCTCTGAAAAACCACTAAGGCCTGAGACCATGGCATGACCACATAATTATCCCATTAAGTCTACTAGTTATAGCATTATAGCGTAACTCACTACATGATCATGACTCGCGTGAGGCTACAATGTGTCATAAACAAAAACAGAGAGTGAGAACAGTTTGCTAAGCCAACACTATATTGATAAGTCACATTTCCATTCATAATTAGGCTACATAGTTGGCTACAAAAGTAATTTACAGTTGAATTGGGTTATACACTAGCAAAAAAGACAGTATTTAGTAAGAAGAATAAAATACTCAGTCTAAGCAAAGCAAATGTTCCATTGTGAATGACTCACAAGTGAGAAAAACAAAAAAGGGTGACATATTTCCAGTCACCTTGTTGGGTAGAGAATAACAGTTTCCTCTCCAAATCTGAGTCAAACATCCGCTTTGTTGAGAAGAATGTTTTCAATTGAAAAAAAGCAATTTCAGTATAGGCCTAAATATGTAGCCTAGCTAACATTAACTGGATACAGTACAGTCAAAATAAAACATACAAAAACACAAGAATCAAAGTGTTAGATACAAACAAGTTAATAAGAACTGAATTTGTGCAGGTATTTGGTTCACTGGTTTGAGAAGGGAAGCCCACATTGAGAAAAGCTTCCTTTCAGCTTTTCCTGGCTGGCTCGCCAAAGACTTCAGTCCACTGAACAGGGGGACTAGGGTCACAGACTGTCACCCCTCTACGTCATGAGCCTGCAGTACAAGCAACCACAGATTTCGTGGAAAGCCCCATGTCCTGTCCCATGCTTGTACCTATTGCCTAACAAATCATAAGCAATGTGGGCAGCATCCATGGGACTGGGAAATAACAACAGAAACAATGTTTTCCTTCAGAGCATATGGGCTACTCTGTCAACAAGGCCCCACGCAAGCATATACACGCACTTGTTAGTGTGTAACTCATACATGCACGTGTGAGTGTGGGTCAGAGATGCTGTAACGAGCACGGCCCCCGGCAGTGGAGTTGTATGGGCTGTTTGCGCTGGTTTCACAGGGGTCTCAGACAGTGTTTTGTCACTAAAAAGTAACAGCAGGGTTACATAACCACTGTCCTGTGTTGGCGCTCCTGAGAGATAAATAATTAAAGAAATTAGGTGAGGATCTGCTGAAAAGCATGTCAACATGCTCACAGGCCATCGCAGTTCACGGCCAGCCCCAGGAAGCTCCATCCCATTAGTGACTGTACAGGATGTGTTTGTGTGTGTTCAGTGGGCCCTGGATGTTCAGTAAAGCTTTACTCATCTGAGTGCTGCTGCATCCCATGGCAGGGGCTGACAGGAGCGCAGAGGCATAAACTGGATGTCACGGCCTGTCAAGTCCTCATTATATAGCATTACCCTGTTGTGCCTGGCCAAAGGGGCTGGAGCAGGGTTCGGTTGGGAGCGAGGGAGAGGAGCATTAGTTGAAGAGGGAGTAATCTGTCCCTCTGGCTCTGAGCCGCCTAAGATGCTAAGCTGAGCAAACTGCTAAACTGAGCAAACTGCCACTCAATCCAAGGCAGAGGATCAGACTAAGCTAATGCAGTGCCTCAACATCCCCCATCAGATGATAATATGTTACCGGGGACGTGCCTGGCTGGCGAGGGAGGATTTATTTTCATTTGAGGGGGATAAACAACTTGTAAACAAGTTTGTTATCTCATGCTCTGTGATGCAGACAAGAGGGGAGGGGATTCCCTTACTGTAACAAACTGTACTCATATCATGCAAATAGAGAGGGGAAGACAGAGGAATTGCTAGTCAGGAATCAGAGGTCAAACTTCTATGGCAGAAAGTCTGCCATGTTTTGCTCTACGCAGGTTTGAGATCAGACAGTCACATACTCTTCAGGTACAGGGTTTAGTTAGTTCTGTCAGTGAAGACATTCTGAACATGCATCAAGACCATGCATTTACTATTTTAGATACAGCATAATCCTCCCATTGGTTGAAAAAAACCAGAAGATTTCTAAACTGTAAGAAGTTTTGGAAGGGCAACACTGCCCCTCTGTGTTAAAGAACAAAACAGTTCACTCAGTGCATTGCTGCACTCTCCAGCCAGTGTACTCATGCAAGCAGGGCCTGTGTTTGCCAGGTTTGGGATTAAGCCTCTTATTAAGGATTAAACTCAGGTCATCACACTTTAGGACTAACATGCCATGTAACACAAGCACATATACACTGACCGGTAAGTGGTAATCCTGGTAAGAAATGCATCAGGGCTCCAAACAGACTTGCCTCATGCTGAAACGTTGCGTCGAGGAGCAGCTCCGGGAGCATCCTCTCGCCCAGCTCTCGGCTGGCCTCGTCGCTCACAAAATGAAGGACCAGCACCTCTTCGTCCAGGAAGAGACCGTATTTCGCCATGGATAACATGGCCACCCGGAACTTCTCCTGAAGGCTCCGGCTCTTGTCAACCTTGGTGAACATCATGAGGGCATGGTAGTACTGGCTGACCTCGGGTCCACTGTCTGCCCCACTGACCGCCCTCCTAGCCCTGCCTTCGCCCTCCTCCACATCTCCCTCCTTCTCCTCCTCTCCTCCCTCAGTGTGCAGCAGCCTGGTGTCCAGAGAAAGGTCTGCGTCGTTCCGGTTGGCGTTTTGGCTGGCCTGGGTCTGCTTGATGCGCTTGGTGGTGCTTGAGAAATCATGCCTCTCCGAGCCAAAGTAGTAGAAGGCTACAACAGCCAGAGCTGCTGCGAGGAGCAGGACAAACTGATAGAACCTGAAGGTGCTGACCCTACCCATAGTGTTGACTAGAACCCTCAGGATGCCCATTCTGTAACTCCCACAGATGAGTGTAGAAGCCCTTATCGTCACGGCTTGCAGAATGTGGGGTTGAACCCTGAGTTCAACATCCTGTATGTTTCTGATCCAGTGTTGGTTTCAGAAAGGAGCCATTCATTTTCTAGCCTTGGCCACGCCCTGACAAGGTTGAGTAGTCCTTTTCCTATAAAAATTGAATGAATGTATAACTAAGGTTAGTCTTACCCTTCAGAATGGTCTACCTTTGTACAATACAACTAAGTTCATATTGTCACATGAAAGAAATGTGATGTGTATTGCAAATTAAATACATCCAGAATACAAAATAGCTTAATCACATTAAATCATGTAATGTTCTAACAAAAAATTAAGAGCGATTCTTGCAACAGCAGACATTCTTGTGTGAAGAGCTATGCTGAACTTGTAAAGACTGGAACTTTTCATGAAATCAGTGTCTTCTCATGTAAGTACGAATTGTTTTAAATTCACAGAAAATTCGCGCCACCTTCAATATCTAGCTAGCTAAATTCTCCAGCATGCAATGACCTACCTGAGAAACGCTCAACGTTCGAGGCATAGTTCACTATTGACAACTGGTCGCGCAATTTGCTAGCAACAACATTCAGTCACCATCATACTTCTAAAAATGGTTACCTGTACCTATGTTTTTCCTGTACAACTGCGGTCATTCCGCGGGGTGCTGAAATTCATAATTGTAATTTTTTTAAATATCGAATACAACCACCGATTTTTTCCAGATTTGTGTTGTTCACCTCAGTCCAAATGCGTTTGTTCGGATTGAAGCTCGGTTTACGTAGTAAATCTACAGCAGTTGAGTAACACAAATTAGGAAAAAGTCGGTGGTTGTATTTGATACGTTTTTATTAAAATTATTAATTGAAACACTGCGGAAGGACCACAGTTGTACAGGACAAACATAGGTACAGGTAAGCCCTTTCGGAATTGAAATGTGGACTGATCGTGACTCAATGTTGTTCTAACAAATCGCGCGAACAGTTATCAATACTGAACACCGCCTCGATATAAGAGAACATAGTTGAGCGTTCCTCAGCTAGCAATGAGCATGCATGCAACATAGTAAGGAACACCAAGACAAATATACACATTTGAAAGAAAGCACATTTATTTACTGACCATTCTGGTGTTGGAGAACTCTCGATGCAGAGGAAGTTGTGACAACTGAGTTGGATTAGCAGGCAGACTGTTGATAGTTAGCTAACTTGTTAGCTAGCTGCTAAAGATGTACATTATATGGACGCAACAGGTTTATAGAGACAAAATAATACATGTCACGAACGCTGTGAGGGCCGCAAAATATTCCACTGGTGACTCTATAGCTTGTCAACTTGAAATATCAAACATTTTCATAAAATGTGTATTGTGAATTAGATAAAATGTGTTGCTTAGCTAATTTGCCACACTAATCTAAATGACACCTCCGGTGATGTCTAATGCTGCGTTCAGAACAACTGTGAACACGGAAAATACGAGGTCAAATCATGACGTCAGTGATCTTCAGTTCGGAAAGTCGGAGCTCTAGAAAGATTCTCGAGTTCGAATTACGAGTTGGATGATCGTTCAAATCGATTTATTCCCAGTCGGAGCTCGTTTTTTCCCGAGTTCCCATTTGTTTTGAACGCTTGGACGTCGGAGATTTCCGAGTTCCCAGTAGTTATGAACGCGGCATAATGCTGCGTTCATATCTCCTAATTTCGTAAATACAGGTATACTTCTTATTCTTCTTTAAATGTGCATTGGCGGATCACAACCAACTGAAAGGTGTATACACCGCCTCCTACTGCACGGGAGTGTGAATACAGGCGAAAATGTTGATAAAAGTAACTTTGTCCTAGAGCAGTGTTTCCCAACAGGGGGTAAGCGTACCTCTATGGTTAATTGGGCAGTCTCCAGAGGGTATGCGGGAAGATAAAAAAAAAAAAAGTGAGGCAAAAAGAGTATTGGGGAAAATATTACCAAAAATATATACACTACCAGTCAAAAGTTTGAACACACCTACTCATTCATTTTTTACATTTTAGTCATTTAGCAGACGCTCTTATCCAGAGCGACTTACAGGAGCAATTAGGGTTAAGTGCCTTGCTCAAGGGCACATCGACAGATTTTTCACCTAGTCGGCTCGGGGATTAGAACCAGCGACCTTTCGGTTACTGGCACAACGCTCTTAACCATTTATTTTTACAATTTTTTTCATTGTAGAATAATAGTGAAGACATCACAACTATGAAATAACACATATGGAATCATGTAGTAAAAAAAAAGTGTTAAACAATCCAAGTATATTTTATATTTGCGAATCTTCAAATAGCCACCCTTTGCCTTGATGACAGCTTTGCACACTCTTGGCATTCTGTCAACCAGCTTCACCTGGAATGGTTTCCCAACCGTCTTGAAGGAGTTCCCACATATGCGGAGCACTTGTTGGCTGCTATTCCTTCACTCTGCGGTCCGACTCATCCCAAACCATCTCAATTTAGGTTTAGGTCGGAGGATTGTGTAGGCCAGGTCACCTGATGCAGCACTCCATCACTCTTCTTCTTGGTAAAATAGCCCTTACACAGCCTGAAGGTGTGTTGGGTCATTGTCCTGTTGAAAAACAAATTATAGTCCCACTAAGCCCAAACCAGATGGGATGGCGTATCGCTGTAGAATGCTGTGGTAGCCATGCCGGTTAAGTGTGCCTTGAATTCTAAATAAATCACAGACAGTGTCACCAGCAAAGCACCCCCACACCATAACACCTCCTTCTCAATGCTTTACGGTGGGAAATACACATGCGGAGATCATCCATTCACCCACACCGCGTCTCACAAAGACACCAACCAAACATCTCCAATTTGGACTCCAGACCAAAGGACACATTTCCACCTGTCTAATGTCCATTGCTCGTGTTTCTTGGCCCAAGCAGGTCTCTTCTTATTATTGGTGTCCTTTAGTAGTGGTTTCTTTGCAGCAATTCGAAGCATGAAGGCCTGATTCACACAGTCCCCTCTGAACAGTTGATGTTGAGATGTGTCTGTTACTTGAACTCTGTGAAGCATTTATTTGGGCTGCAATTTCTGAGGATGGTAACTCTAATGAACTTATCATCTGCAGCAGAGGTAACTCTGGGTCTTCCATTCTTGTGGCGGTCCTCATGAGAGCCAGTTTCATCATTGCGCTTGATTTACATTTACATTTACGTCATTTAGCAGATGCTCTTATCCAGAGCGACTTACAAATTGGTGCATTCACCTTATAGCCAGTGGGATAACCACTTTACAATGGTTTTTATTTTATATTATTATTTTTATTATTTTTATTTATTATTTTTTGGTGGTGGGTGGGTTGGGGTAAGGGAGGGGTAGAATGATTACTTTATCCTATCCCAGGTATTCCTTAAAGAGGTGGGGTTTCAAATGTCTCCGGAAGGTGGTGAGTGACTCCGCTGTCCTGGCGTCGTGAGGGAGCTTGTTCCACCATTGGGGTGCCAGAGCAGCGAACAGTTTTGACTGGGCTGAGCGGGAACTATGCTTCCGCAGAGGTAGGGGAGCCAGCAGGCCAGAGGTGGATGAACGCAATGCCCTCGTTTGGGTGTAGGGACTGATCAGAGCCTGAAGGTACGGAGGTGCCGTTCCCCTCACAGCTCCGTAGGCAAGCACCATGGTCTTGTAGCAGATGCGAGCTTCAACTGGAAGCCAGTGGAGTGTGCAGAGGAGCGGGGTGATGTGAGAGAACTTGGGAAGGTTGAACACCAGACGGGCTGCGGCATTCTGGATGAGTTGTAGGGGTTTAATGGCACAGGCAGGGAGCCCAGCCAACAGCGAGTTGCAGTAATCCAGACGGGAGATGACAAGTGCCTGGATTAAGACATGTGCCGCTTCCTGTGTAAGGCAGGGTCGTACTCTCCGAATGTTGTAGAGCATGAACCTACAGGATCGGGTCCCGCCTTGATGTTAGCGGAGAACGACAGGGTGTTGTCCAGGGTCACGCCAAGGCTCTTCGCACTCTGGGAGGAGGACACAACGGAGTTGTCAACCGTGATGGCGAGATCATGGAACAGGCAGTCCTTCCCCGGGAGGAAGAGCAGCTCCGTCTTGCCAAGGTTCAGCTTGAGGTGGTGATCCGTCATCCATACTGATATGTCTGCCAGACATGCAGAGATGCGATTCGCCACCTGGTTATCAGAAGGGGGAAAGGAGAAGATTAGTTGTGTGTCGTCAGCGTAGCAATGATAGGAGAGGCCATGTGAGGATATGACAGAGCCAAGTGACTTGGTGTATAGCGAGAATAGGAGAGGGCCTAGAACTGAGCCCTGGGGGACACCAGTGGTGAGAGCACGTGGTGCGGAGACAGCTTCTCGCCACGCCACTTGGTAGGAGCGACCGGTCAGGTAGGACGCAATCCAAGAGTGAGCCGCGCCGGAGATGCCCAGCTCGGAGAGGGTGGAGAGGAGGATCTGATGGTTCACAGTATCAAAGGCAGCAGACAGGTCTAGAAGGACAAGAGCAGAGGAGAGAGAGTTAGCTTTAGCAGTGCGGAGATCCTCCGTGACACAGAGAAGAGCAGTCTCAGTTGAATGACCAGTCTTGAAACCTGACTGGTTTGGATCAAGAAGGTCATTTTGAGAGAGATAGCAAGAGAGTTGGCTAAAGACGGCACGCTCAATAGTTTTGGAGAGAAAAGAAAGAAGGGATACTGGTCTGTAGTTGTTGACATCAGAGGGATCGAGTGTTGGTTTTTTGAGAAGGGGTGCAACTCTCGCTCTCTTGAAGACGGAAGGGACATAGCCAGCAGTCAAGGATGAGTTGATCAGCGAGGTGAGGTAAGGGAGAAGGTCACCGGAGATGGTCTGGAGAAGAGAGGAGGGGATAGGGTCAAGCGGGCAGGTTGTTGGGCGGCCTGCCTTCACAAGTCGCAAGATTTTATCTGGAGAGAGAGGGGAGAAAGTAGTCAAAGCATAGGGTAGGGCAGTGTGAGCAGGACCAGCAGTGTCATTTGACTTAACAAACGAGGATCGGATGTCGTCAACCTTCTTTTCAAAATGGTTGACGAAGTCATCCACAGAGAGGGGGGGGGGGGGGGGGGGGGGATTCAGCAGGGAGGAGAATGTGGCAAAGAGCTTCCTAGGGTTAGAGGCAGATGCTTGGAATTTAGAGTGGTAGAAAGTGGCCTTAGCAGCAGAAACAGATGAAGAAAATGTAGAGAGGAGGGAGTGAAAAGATGCCAGGTCCGCAGGGAGTCTAGTTTTCTTCCATTTCCGCTCAGAGCTCTGTTCTGTGAGCTCGCAATGAGTCATCAAGCCACGGAGCTGGAGGGGAGGACCGAGCCGGCCGGGAGGATAGGGGACATAGAGAGTCAAAGGATGCAGAAAGGGAGGAGAGGAGGGTTGAGGAGGCAGAATCAGGAGATTGGAGGGAGAAGGATTGAGCAGAGGGAAGAGATGATAGGATGGAAGAGGAGAGAGTAGCGGGAGAGAGAGAGCGAAGGTTTTGACGGCGCATTACCATCTGTGTAGGGGCAGAGTGAGTAGTGTTGGAGGAGAGCGAGAGAGAAAAGGATACAAAGTAGTGGTCGGAGACATGGAGGGGAGTTGCAGTGAGATTAGTAGAACAACAGCATCTAGTAAAGATGAGGTCAAGCGTATTGCCTGCCTTGTGAGTAGGGGGGGACGGTGAGAGGGTGAGGTCAAAAGAGGAGAGGAGTGGAAAGAAGGAGGCAGATAGAAATGAGTCAAAGGTAGACGTAGGGAGGTTGAAATCCCCCAGAACTGTGAGGGGTGAGCCATCCTCAGGAAAGGAACTTATCAAGGCGTCAAGCTCATTGATGAACTCTCCAAGGGAACCTGGAGGGCGATAGATGACAAGGATATTAAGCTTAAATGGGCTAGTGACTGTGACAGCATGGAATTCAAATGAGGAGATAGACAGATGGGTCAGGGGAAAAATTGAGAATGTCCACTTGGGAGAGATGAGGATTCCTGTGCCACCACCCCGCTGACCAGATGCTCTCGGGGTATGCGAGAACACATGGTCAGACGAGGAGAGAGCAGTAGGAGTAGCAGTGTTTTCAGTGGTAATCCATGTTTCCGTCAGCGCCAAGAAGTCGAGGGACTGGAGGGTAGCATAGGCTGAGATGAACTCTGCCTTGTTGGCAGCAGAACGGCAGTTCCAGAGGCTGCCTGAGACCTGAAACTCCACGTGGGTGGTGCGTGCAGGGACCACCAGGTTAGAGAGGCAGCAGCCACGCGGTGTGAGGCGTTTGTGTAGCCTGTGCGGAGAGGAGAGAACAGGGATAGGCAGAGGCATGCCGGACTCCAACAACACGGTTTAGCGCCAATACTCGGCCACAACAAACCACCAGTGTATCAACACGCAAGCAGATCGTTCGTGTCCGTGTCTAACGTTGTGGGTTAGTCCCGACAGCTTGAGCCGGACTCCAACAACACGGTTTAGCGCCAATACTCGGCCACAACAAACCACCAGTGTATCAACACGCAAGCAGATCGTTCGTGTCCGTGTCTAACGTTGTGGGTTAGTCCCGACAGCTTGAGCGAGTCCGTCGTCAACTTATTCAGCCAGTTAGTTAGCTAAAATAGTTAGCAAACTAGCTAGCCATTGCTTTCAGACAAAGAATAACCCCTCCTTTCACGGCACGAACACACAGAGAGAGCCAAACTAACGTTAACTAGTCACCCATGTCCCGAATTCCTTGAACGACTCAGGCTATCAATATGTAAAAAACAAAACACAAATGTAGGTTATGACTTACCCCTAGCAGCTACTGTTAGCTAGCCAAGTGCAAAGCTAGCCACTGAATTGACTCAGCCAGTTCGCGTCTGTTCGCTCGGTCGTTCCAGCTATTGTTTACTAGTAGCTATCCAGGTAGCAACAAGCTAGCTAAATTTCAAGCACAGTAGCCACTTGCTACCTAACGTTAACGGATGGTTGATGGTTTTTGCGACTGCACTACCATGTGACAACACAACTGATTGGCTCAAACGCATTAAGATGGAAAGAAATTCCACAAATTAACTTTTAATACGGCACACCTGTCAATTGAAATGCATTCCAGGTGACTACCTCATGAAGCTGGTTGAGAGAATGCCAAGAGTGTGCAAAGCAGTCATCAAGGCAAAGGGTGGCTATTTGAAGAATCTCAAATATAAAATATATTTTTGATTTGTTTAACACTTTTTTGCTTACTACATGATTCCATATGTGTTATTTCATAGTTCTGATGTCTTCACTATTATTCTACAATATAGAAAATAGTAAAAATAAAGAAAAACCCTGGAATGAGTAGGTGTGTCCAAACTTTTGACTGGTACTTTATGTTCAAGTTATTTAAATTTTAATAGGCAGGAAAACATTTACTGAGGTCACTGGTGTGAAATATCTAGTTACTTTATATTTATAGGCCTACTTTTTTACTTTAGTTTTGGTGCGTGTGCATTGCACTGTCTACATTACCTCTGCTCGCCTGCCCGTTGGTCCTCTGCTCGCGCCAAGTGTACGTGATCCTTTGCTCTGTGCGCTAGAGTGCCTGCTGCTGTTATCCTCGCAGAAACTGTAGTATCTGAGGAATTATGACTTTGCTAACGTTTTCAAATGGAACCTGAGAGGAGGTTTATTCAGGTTTATTCAGCTTAGAGGGAGCATCTGGGGAGCAGTTTTAGAGGGGCACCCTAAAGCAGAGGAAGTCTGTTAGGTGTCCTCCTGAGATTGGTCTGTAGGGGAACACCCATATCAGATTACATAGGATATATACCACAGTTGGGACAAAGGACGACAGAATAATCAGATTTGAGATGGGGCGATTATTCTCCAGGTATCTGCAGGTATCTGTAAATCGACGCTGTAACCCTTTGTTATGAATAAACCTTTATGATGAAAATACAGCGTCAGCGGGTTCTCCTTGGTCACACAGCATAATTAGCAACGTTTACTCGACACAACAATACGATAATTGATAAAACAGCAGCTGATGCACTGAAGACTGTACCATTGTCAAATAACACAGTGTGCCGTAGGATCGATTAAATGGGCGTTGATATTGTTGAACAAGTGGTGAAAAAATAATAATTCCGGTCCATTTTCTCTGCAGTTGGAAGAATCGACTGATGTCAGTGGGGAAGCCCAGTTGATTGCGTTTGTGGGATATAGAAACATATCGGAAATTAAATGAGCACATTCTGTTCTGCAAGAAGCTAACGGGGAGAACTACAGGTGAGGATGTGTTTCACGTTATTGACAGCTTTATCTCAGAGCACAATCTGGACTCTGAAAAACACCAAAAGAAAGATGCCCACGGTCCCTGCTCATCTGCGTGAACGTGCCTTAGGCATGCTGCAAGGATGCATGAGGACTGCAGATGTGGCCAGGGCAATAAATTGCAATGTCCGTACTGTGAGACGCCTAAGACAGCGCTACAGGGAGACAGGAGGGACAGATGATCGTCCTCGCAGTGGCAGACCACGTGTAATAACACCTGCACAGGATCGGTACAGCCGAACATCACACCTGCGGGACAGGTACAGGATGGCAACAACAACTGCCCGAGTTACACCAGGAACGCACAATCCCTCCATCAGTGCTCAGACTGTCCGCAATAGGCTGAGAGAGGCTGGACTTGTGTGTATTGTTAGGAATTACTGTACTTACTGTTGGAGCTAGAATCATAAGCATTTCGCTGCACCTGCAATAACATCTCCAAAATATGTGTGCTCGACCAATAAAATTTGATTGGATTTGACATTGAACTCATTACATCTGGTTGGCAAGCATGTAAATTGTTTGTGTACGGAATGTATGGTTGATGAAATAGTGAAACGTGTATTGTTGTAGGTACCAGTGTATGTAGAATAGAGGGAAAGATTAAGGTGTAGGGGGTGGAAGGAATTTTGGAGATGGGGGAGGGTTTGTTAGAAGTTAGTAGGGCTCTTTTTTAAATGTTATTAGTAGTACGATTAGGTAGGAAGGTTTAGTTTTTCTTAATGTTTGTTTCTTTATTCATTGAGTCTGTAAACTGTGATGAGCACACTCCAGTACAGTAGGTGGCGGCATGCACCTCTAACGTTTGTTTGCAGACCGCCATAATACCATAGAAGTAGAAGCAGCAGCTAGCGTTGTTCTTTTAACTAGCTAACAGCAGATATTGAGGCAGATATTTCACAGGATGTATAAATGTGAAGCATCCGCTTGGCATTTCCACTCACTACCAAATATGATAGTGAGATGAAGCCCACTGACCGGCATTGGGAGAAGATGGAACGAGAAGGATTTTGGCCGACCTTCTGCACATTTTCTCACCGATGAAACATTTGACTTCAATAAAGTTTTCTGTTCCCAAAACGAGTATGTTATGAACAAAGTGGACTAAGTTCTGTAGACTTTATCCTTTGCAAAAGTGTTTTAAAAATCGCGTTGTTTAGAAGGAGTGAAAAGGCGAATTGCGTTATTGCACACGCGCACCTCACAGGTGGCGTTCCCTAACGGAAATATGCAGATGCATGTTAGAACGTGCCAATTGCATCTCGCTAGCTCGTACTTGGTTCTGCCCACTATGACTCATCTGTTCCCGTCGGAAACGACAGGCTGTGGTATATCTTGGTTTAGTTATATCTTTGGTAACGTGCTAATGGCGGTGGGAATTCAACTGTGTAGCATTAGCTAGTGGAAATTATTGTTGTTTATGCTTGCTTGACAGCACAATTATATGTTACATTCTTTAGATGCTAAATTAGCTGGGTTGTTACATCTAGCTGGACGTCTGTGCGTTTCAAATTGACATCTAGTCGTGGAAAATGACGCACGTTGTTCAGGTGACAAATGTCTCTCCGAGCACCACCTCCGAACAGATGAGAACTCTGTTCGGGTTTCTGGGGAATATTGAAGAACTCAAGTTATTTCCACCAGAGTGAGTATTCTGAATATGAAACAATTAGCTAGCTAGTAGCGACGTACATTTTTCATAAATCCTGCCAAATTTGGCCTTCGCACAGGTTGGGGCCTGTCAGGCCGCAGTCCACCCCTAGCTAATAGTAATTCGCTAGCTAACATTAGCTAGTTAGCATACACACGAGTGTGTGCTTGCTCATGCAACTGATACAGAGCAGGAGCCAAGCTCGCGCCTACTTGGCTGTGAACTCGCAATTTAGCTAGATGGTTAACTTGATAGCTAGTTAGTAAATATTGCTTACAACAAGCTCATGGAGAAGGATATCTGCGAAGTCTTGGCCCTCAGTGCCTATATGAAACATCTACTTAACCAGCTAACTGTACTGAGAAACAAATGGCTAGTAAGCTAACGTTATCTTGTGCTACCGAATAACAAATCAGGCCTGCAGTCAATACTATAGTAATTATTTGACAAAACAAACTGTCTGGAATCAAACTGTTTTGAATGATCCTAATACTGTGAAAACAAATGGCTCCATTTGAATAACAGGGCAGGGTAGTAGGAGCTAATTAATCTGTGTTCTGTGCTTTGCTGTTTTTCACCTGTCGAATTACACCTGGCTGCACTGCAGTTAAGGTAGGAATTACAAGACGTCTTGATCATCCCTCTGAAGCTCTCGTGGCAAAGACAAGAAAAGACTGCAAGAGATGCAATGTTCTTTCATTGCTCTGTCTTCCCAATTGTAACTAAACCAGACATAAAATACGTTTCATTAGAAAAGTGATAAGTGAGCATTTGTTTTCAGGAAGAAAGTATACTAACAAAGTGTTAGTACCATGTTTCTAATACCCTATGTTGAGAATCTTTGTATTTCTTGCACAACAAATTTGTATTTTCTTCCAGTGAATCTCCCTTGCCTGTGACTTCACGTGTCTGTTTTGTAAAGTTCCTTGAATCTGAGTCGGTTGGAGTGTCCCAGCATCTGACCAACACTGTCTTTGTGGACAGAGCCCTGATTGTTGTCCCATTCGCAGAAGGTTGGTGATCTTTGTCCTATTTCTAATGTTTTCCAACATACTATATGAACTAACTCAAGCTCAACCAAACCCCATTGTTTATGAACATTTAATTTAAAGTAAGATTTAGTACACAAGTCTTACCAGAGATTGACAATATAATAGGGGTAAAAGGGAATACATGTGTAATCTTGCTGTTCTACTATAGCCTATTAATTAAAAATATATATCTCTCTCATTTGTTTGTTGTGGTTTTCGACGTGGACAAGGCATCTGCTGAGCCCCCTCCTTGCAGACTGAACAGGGTCCTCTACTGCCATCAGGAGATTAGACACATAGGCCCCTTCCCACTGTTGTTCTGCTGTAAAGATAAACTATCTTTATCTCCAAGGCATCTTTTCATTATAAGGATAACCACTCAATGAACCATAGCAATAGCAGGGACCAAGGGCCCTCCCTACCCCTCATATAAAAAAAAATCTTAAATCTGGAAACGAGATTAAAGTAATCCAAGTTTGAAGGCCACAATCAGTAGTAGGTATGCGTCTAATAAACTAAACTAAAGGAAGCATGCAAAGGTAAATTAACTGATTGCGGCAATGCATGCCTGAGTAGATTTGTATAGTACTCGGCCTACAACCATTTAGTTACTTTCAGCTACTGGCCTGGAAGTTTATGAACATAATTTTGGTTACGATTCACATGCTTATCTGTTATTTGGATTTAACCCACCCAATTTGAATAGCTTTGTTTCGCGGTCCTTTTATACATATTTGCATCTCCATCCCCACATTTTCACTAACTGCAGGTAAAAGTAAGACTGGTTGTTGTAGTGAAATGCTTTATAATGATCCTCTCCACTTGACTCTGAAAGGGTTTTAGTAAGTCACACATTTAACGGTGGTTTTTCTTTTTGTTGTTGTGTTTTACAGTTCTTTTTCCTGGTTCAGCCAGCCCTATATACCAGGCCCTGCTGAAAATGCCACCCAACAGTTTTGTCTTCTGCAGCTTATCCTGTTTCTCAAGTGTCCTTTGTTGTTTTTCTCTGAAAAGATGAAACGTCGTGTTATTTGAAATTAGCTTAATTTCAGATTGCACACCCATGGACCATCTCATAAAATTAGTTTTTATTTCACTATTGTATATTTTTTTTCTTCAGCATTGGGCACATAGTTAACCATTCTATTCGGGCTTTTGCTGGCATTTTCCCTTATTTGTCAGAGCCTACTCAGTACTCTTCGGCAGGTAGCCTTGAGGTTAGCGTTTGGGCCAGTTCGAATACCAGAGCCGACAAGGTGAAATAAAAAATCTGCCACTGTGCCCTTGAGCACTTAATCCTAACTGCTCCAGGGGCGCTGTACAATGGCGACCCTGACCGTGACCCCACTTCCTGCAGGTGTCTCGGGGAGTTTGGATATGCAAAAAAAAACATTTCCATTACACACTTGTGAGTAACAGGACAAATATAACCCCCCCCCCACCCCCCCCAAAAAATATATATTATTCTTTCTGTTAGTTATAAGTTAAGTTAAACTTTACAACACTGTACATGAGTGGTATTCTATGAAGCGAGTTTAAGGAGTTGGCAAGGTAACTTTGGTCAACTCAAGATAACCAGTCATACGAAAGTGGCTTGCCTTTTAGCCAGGTAAATTTCTATGGCAACGGATCCTTCAGAACTAACCTGCTCCAGGGCAGACTAACTCGCGGCTTACTCCACTTACCCTGAATGAAATGACTGTGTAACGAGTTGAGGCCCAATGGAATCAGATTCCCTCTTTCTTGCAAATATTGAAGAAGGCTGTTTATTTGAGGAAGATGATTGATTAAATATTTTATTAATGACAGAATGCATTTAAAACTTTAAACGCACAGTAACACTTTTGTATGTCTTAATACAATTATTTTATCGATAGGAGTGGGGGGGGGGTGGTTGTGCATTGATAAGCACACCAACCAAAGTCGGCATTAAAGATAAGTGATAAAATACAGACTTCTAAAAGCCTATTTCACCCCATAGCCTGCTGAATTTGCAATCTAACGTTTCTTTCATTTTCTTTTGTTTAAATAAAAAATGTGTCACCAACTCGCCCATAGATTTATATTACGGCATTGTCTCAATGAAAAGTTCAGCATTTGCTTAGACATGTGCGACATGCACACACAGTTATAAACCTGCTGAAGTTAGAGGCAGGTGGACAAGCAATATCCACCGTCATAGTATGGATGAAGCCGGAGGTGGAATGTGACGCTAACTAAAGCTGGTTAGCTGTAGAAAACCTTGAGTAGATCTAGCTTGCTTCGTAGGATACCCCTCTGGTGAATACAGTAGCCAATCAACAGCGCTGTAGGCTCTTTGGAAGAAAGAAGCCACCAGCAAAAGCCCCGAAAACAGAATTTGATTGAGCCTTTTCTGTTTGTTTTGTAATGGTAAGTGTTTTAGGCAAAAGTAATGAACTGTTCCCTGCTGTTGACGCCAAAATCATGAACTTTGTTTTGTGTATCTTGATGTTTTTGTGTGCTTTATAGCGAAGCAGCCGGCGCGAGTCGCTTGTTCATAAAACATCTAATGAAACTTGAGAGCACATCCCACTGGACAACTGGCTGTGCTTGCTTACGTTTGGTTCATGACTTAAAAAACAAGTACAGGTGATAAAATCTTAGCAGTGTTGACCATAGTGTGTATTGTGACTTTATTCTCATAGTAGTATTCTGAAATCATACTTAGCAAATCAGGGACCAACATTTTCCGACAACACAACATGGAATGTATGTCTTGCTACATATCTATTGTGGTAAGAGTAGTTAGTTTGAGGTGGTTTGTTTGTTGCTCTGTTTGAGTGTGATGGATGTTTGCAAAGGCCTGTACTGATTCTGTGGTGTTTTTCTCCAGGAGTGATTCCTGATGAGTCTAAAGCTCTGTCACTGCTGGCACCAGCGAACGCTGTGGCAGGATGCATGCCTGGAGGAGGCCTTCTCCCCACTCCAAATCCTTTGGCGTCGGTAAGTATTCTGCAAGAAGTGTGTATCTATTGGTGTCGTATTGAGACCTATCAACTGTGTAACCATGTAAGGCCCCATTTTGACAACATAAAAAGTAGCTGGAAGGAAGATTTGTCTGATGTGTATCCCTTGTCCTTGCAGATGGGAGGCGTACCTCTTTCAGCTCTCGGAAATCCGAACATGGATCACATGGCTGCCATGGGCATGTCTGGCAACATGAACCCCCAGGTTGGACATGGCTACTTTCTATTTCACAAATCTCTGTACTTTAAAACGGGTGTAGGTTATAGTATTAATTCTTAAGTAACATGATTTAAAAAATCCCCATCAAAATCTGTCAATTTAAGCTAGAGATGTCAGTTTTTTTGCATGGTCTGCGTCTCAATCCACCGCATCCGACTATGTGGGCCTTCCGCATCCTCGATGGAAGTGGCCGAGCTACAGCTGCCTTTGTCAGACCATGAGACATCCCAAAAATTGGTCCTCTCACTAACGTCTGTAGCTTCCAAACTGTTTGACCTACAAACTAATATAACCGCTGGAAAGATGAGATGCTTACGAACACAATGGTGTTCTCCGTTTTGCTCTCCGACACGTCTGAAGTCGGTAAAGATGATGTACCATCTTCTGTCTGTAGCGTCCGAATTGTTTGGGCTACAAACTAATGACTCCACTGTGGAATGAACATAACAAGATTCAACAACTGAGACATAAACTGAACAAGTTCCACAGACATGTGACTAACAGAAATTGAATAATGTGTCCCTGAACAAAGGGGGGGTCAAAATCAAAAGTAACAGTCAGTATCTGGTGTGGCCACCAGCTGCATTAAGTACTGCAGTGCATCTCCTCCTCATAGACTGCACCAGATTTGCCAGTTCTTGCTGTGAGATGTTACCCCACTCTTCCACCAAGGCACCTGCAAGTTACCTGACATTTCTGGTGGGAATGGCCCTAGCCCTCACCCTCCGATCCAACAGGTCCCAGACGTGCTCAATGAGATTGAGATCCGGGCTCTTCGCTGGCCATGGCAGAACACTGACATTCCTGTCTTGCAAGAAATCACGCACAAAACGAGCAGTATGGCTGGTGGCATTGTCATGCTGGAGGGTCATGTCAGGATGAGCCTGCAGGAAGGGTACCACATGAGGGAGGAGGATGTCTTCCCTGTAACCCATAGCGTTGAGATTGCCTGCAATGACAACAAGCTCAGTCCGATGATGCTGTGACACACCGCCCCAGACCATGACGGACCCTCCACCTCCAAATCGATCCCGCTCCAGAGTACAGGCCTCGGTGTAACGCTCATTCCTTCGACGATTAACGCGAAACCGACCATCACTCCTGGTGAGACAAAACCATGACTCGTCAGTGAAGAGCACTTTTTGTCAGTCCTGTCTGGTCCAGCGACGGTGGGTTTGTGCCCATAGGCGACGTTGTTGCCGGTGATGTCTAGTGAGGACCTGCCTTACAACAGGCCTACAAGCCCTCAGTCCAGCCTCTCTCAGCCTATTGCGGACAGTCTGAGCACTGATGGAGGGATTGTGTGTTCCTGGTGTAACTCAGGCAGTTGTTGTTGCCATCCTGTACCTGTCCCGCAGGTGTGATGTTCGGATGTACCGATCCTGTGCAGGTGTTGTTACACGTGGTCTGCCACTGTGAGGACGATCAGCTGTCCGTCCTGTGTCCCTGTCTTAAGCGTCTCCCTGGCCTCATGCCTCCTTGCAGCATGCCTAAGGCACTTTCACACAGATGAGCAGGGACCCTGGGCATCTTTCTTTTGGTGTTTTTCAGAGTCAGTAGAAAGGCCTCTTTAGTGTCCTAAGTTTTGATAACTGTGACCTTAATTACATTTACATTTTACATTTTAGTCATTTAGCAGACGCTGTTATCCAGAGCGACTTACAGGAGCATTTAGGGTTAAGTGCCTTGCTTAAGGGCACATCGACAGATTTTTCACCTAGTCGGCTCGGGGATTAGAACCAGCGACCTTTCGGTTACTGGCACAACGCTCTTACCCACTAAGCTACCTGCCTACCGTCTGTAACCGGTTAGTGTCTTAACGACCGTTCCACAGGTGCATGTTCATTAATTGTTTATGGTTCACCGAACAAGCATGGGAAAGAGTGTTTAAACCCTTTACAATGAAGATCTGTGAAGCTATTTGGATTTTTACAAATTCTTTGAAAGACAGGGGCCTGAAAAAGGGACGTTTCTTTTTTTGCTGAGTTTAGATATGCATTTTTGTGTTCTCTACTATTTCAGGCCCTCTCTGCTGACTTTTTGAAGCTTATTCAGTCCATGGATCCTACTAAGTAAGTATCACCCCCAATTCTGACCTAAAGAATGTTATTATTGAGTATGTGGTGAAGTCATCTGTATTATTTTTGGGTGACTAACTGGGGTTTGACCATTGCAGGATGAATCAAATGGCTGCTGGTGTGATGGTTAATCCTAGTATGAAGAATGACTCCAACAAGGAGATAGAGGAGGCCATGAAGCGGGTCAGAGAGGCCCAGTCACTCATCTCTGCCGCTATCGAGCCTGGAAGTGAGTTCTTGCTAATATAGACCACTTATATTTGCAGTATTACACTTGTATTTTGACTGAATTACTCATTCCTGTCTTCTATGGTGCTCTTCCTCACGTCTTCAGACATTGGCGGTTGTAATGTTAGTCAGTTCCCACAGATTTGTATTGTTACTTTGGAGTTTCCTGAGCTTTCATTCTTCCTCTTTGCAGATAAGAAAGACGAAAAGCGCAAACATTCCCGCTCCAGGTCCCGGTCGAGGCGGAAGAGGTCCAGGTCTCGTCACAGGTACGCCGCTGATGAGAAACGGTATACCTTAATTAAATCAGCAATTTTGGATGTGCTGAAGGTTAGCCCCACTTTACATGTATATTGTATATGTATATTCATGAGTAGATATTGGAAAACGTCATCAAACCAGTCATGATGCATCTTGAGTGGTTTGAGTGCATGGATTAGTTGGGACAGCTCTGAGTTCTGGTTAAAAAACCTGTCTAATCTGATTGCAGGCGATCAAAGAGCAGGTCTCGACGGAGGTCCCACTCGAGGAACAGGAGGCGGTCAAAGAGCCCCCGCAGAAGGAAGTCCCACTCCAGAGAGAGGGGTAGACGGAGTAAATCCAGGTGGGTGGCCATCTACAGTGTTTTATTCACAGCGGGAATCAGGGAAAATGTGGTGCATGATGTACCTGTTTCAGGATTCCTTCAAATCATTGTTTGCCTTCAATGTTTTTCCTGCTTTTAGGGATCGGAGAAAAGAGGAGAAATCCAAAAAGCGCTCCAGGACGCCGCCTAAGAGCTACAGCAGTACCAGGAGGTCTCGAAGCATCAGTCGGTGAGTGGTTTAAATAAAGGAGGAGTCTGGTTAGATTGACCTAAATGCATTGACCCTCTTGATATTCTGAACCTTTCAGGAACCCAAAGACAACCAGTGGAATGTAGGGTTAGATGTTTCCCTCACATCTTTAATTTCTGGTCTTCAACAGGAGACGTAGGAGAAGCCGCAGCGCCTCTCGGTCACCAAAGAAGTCCAGGTCCCCAAAGAGGAAACTGTCCAGGTCCCCTTCCCCTAGAAGGTGAGTGTGGTACATAAGAGGGTCGTCCTGGTTCAGAACCACACTGGGCTACACAGTGCAGTAATCTGTAGGTGTACCTGTCTGTATTTAAACAATCGTTTTTGTTCCCTCAGGCACAAGAAGGACAAAAAGAAGGACAAAGAGCGAGAGAAGGACCGTGACAGGGATCGCGAGAGGAAAGACGACCGGAGCCGAGACGAAAGAGAACGATCCACCAGTAAGAAGAAGAGCAAAGACAAGGATAAGGACAGAGACCGCAAATCTGACAGCGAGAAAGGAGATGTCAAGGTGTGCAACCACTGACTTTCCCACATTAACGTCTCATTCTAATCGTATCTGTTATACAGTGGGGGGAAAAAGTATTTAGTCAGCCACCAATTGTGCAAGTTCTCCCACTTAAAAAGATGAGAGGCCTGTAATTTTCATCATAGGTACACATCAACTATGACAGACAAATTGAGAGAAAAAAATCCAGAAAATCACATTGTAGGATTTTTTATGAATTTATTTGCAAATTATGGTGGAAAATAGTTTTGGTCACCTACAAACAAGCAAGATTTCTGTCTCTCACAGACCTGTAACTTCTTCTTTAAGAGGCTCCTCTGTCCTCCACTCGTTACCTGTATTAATGGCACCTGTTTGAACTTGTTATCAGTATAAAAGACACCTGTCCACAACCTCAAACAGTCACACTCCAAACTCCACTATGGCCAAGACCAAAGAGCTGTCAAAGGACACCAGAAACAAAATTGTAGACCTGCACCAGGCTGGGAAGACTGAATCTGCAATAGGTAAGCAGCTTGGTTTGAAGAAATCAACTGTGGGAGCAATTATTAGGAAATGGAAGACATACAAGACCACTGATAATCTCCCTTGATCTGGGGCTCCACGCAAGATCTCACCCCGTGGGGTCAAAATGATCACAAGAATGGTGAGCAAAAATCCCAGAACCACACGGGGGGACCTAGTGAATGACCTGCAGAGAGCTGGGACCAAAGTAACAAAGCCTATCATCAGTAACACACTACGCCGCCAGGGACTCAAATCCTGCAGTGCCAGACGTGTCCCCCTGCTTAAGCCAGTACATGTCCAGGCCCGTCTGAAGTTTGCTAGAGTGCATTTGGATGATCCAGAAGAGGATTGGGAGAATGTCATATGGTCAGATGAAACCAAAATAGAACTTTTTGGTAAAAGCTCAACTCGTCGTGTTTGGAGGACAAAGAATGCTGAGTTGCATCCAAAGAACACCATACCTACTGTGAAGCATGGGGTTGGAAACATCATGCTTTGGGGCTGTTTTTCTGCAAAGGGACCAGGACGACTGATCCGTGTAAAGGAAAGAATGAATGGGGCCATGTATCGTGAGATTTTGAGTGAAAACCTCCTTCCATCAGCAAGGGCATTGAAGATGAAACGTGGCTGGGTCTTTCAGCATGACAATGATCCCAAACACACCGCCCGGGCAACGAAGGAGTGGCTTCGTAAGAAGCATTTCAAGGTCCTGGAGTGGCCTAGCCAGTCTCCAGATCTCAACCCCATAGAAAATCTTTGGAGGGAGTTGAAAGTCTGTGTTGCCCAGCGACAGCCCCAAAACATCACTGCTCTAGAGGAGATCTGCATGGAGGAATGGGCCAAAATACCAGCAACGGTGTGTGAAAACTTTGAAGACTTACAGAAAACGTTTGACCTGTGTCATTGCCAACAATGGGTATATAACAAAGTATTGAGAAACTTTTGTTATTGACCAAAAACTTATTTTCCACCATAATTTCCAAATACATTTATTAAAAATCCTACAATGTGATTTTCTGGAGAAAAAAATTCTCATTTTGTCTGTCATAGTTGACGTGTACCTATGATGAAAATTACAGGCCTCTCATCTTTTTAAGTGGGAGAACTTGCACAATTGGTGGCTGACTAAATACTTTTTTTCCCCACTGTATGTCCGTCGAAATAGCTTTTTTTTTTAAACCGACCCTGAATGTTTTTATGTCCTGACTGATCTGTTTCATGTGCCATTCATTCCTTTATTGCTCAGAGCGCTTTGCTCTTGCAGGTGACCAGGGATTATGACGAAGAGGAGCAAGGCTATGACAGTGGAAAAGAGGGAGAGGTAGAGGAGAGGAAGAGTGACTCCGATTCTGCATCCCCTCCGAAGCCCCAGGAGTCTGACGAGAAGCCTGTAGGAGAGAGCGGCAAGAAGTCCAAACAGAACGGAGATGACCACCATGATGAGGAAGACATGGAGATGAGCGACTGAGTGCCGCCCAGGGAGACCCAGCCAGATGACGTTACAGATCACTGAAAACCGCCATAGGCTCCATTCCCTACCGTTCTCTTTTTAAAGGCACCTAGATAACGTCTGATCTTTTAAATGAATACTTGTGGGAGTCGTGGGTTGTAGTCTTATTGGGGACGATGTACAGTTTTTAGCATTTTAGAGACACTTTCCATCTCTAGACTGGTTAGGGACATTCTTGTTCCTGTTTGAAATAGCCAGTTTATTTCTATAGTGGACCGTGTCTAGTGAGCATGTGTAGGAATTCTGTCCCAAATTATTTTTGCAAAAGATAACAAAAAAATGTCACGTTGCTGTACTTTTAAATTGAAGGTCCTGTTGAATGTGAGGGATTTTGAAATTGGTTTCTATTTTTGTCCTAAAAGATTTTACTAATCTTGAACGTAGAGGAACTGTTTTCTCCTAAATGACTCACTGAAATGATGCATACTTAAACCTTTTACAGGGCATGGGTTGGTCCCTCGGATACTCACTGTTAAATCATATTTAGCCTGGTACCGTTCTGGTGCAGTGCAGCTTTCTATTCTTTGTTGGAATCCTGACAGATTGACTCAATCTGTAAAGCACTTAATACTGTTGTCTGTAGACATGCCCTCCCACACCTGTGACGATATACTGTAAACTGTAGATCGAAATGAGTGTTTGGATTATTATGATGGAACACCTTGTACTGTCTACATGTTTTACAAAGGAAAGTATATAATAAAACTTGGTCGAAATGGCTATGTTCTGTGGTAGGATATGTTCGATAGCCTGCACCAGTTTTTAAACGCATGATAAACAAATGGTAGACAAGTTCATTTAGACGTGGACATTTTATTTTAGTAAAAATGTTTTTCATATGAAAATAGTGTCAGGCTTATACAAGGTTTCTTGCTGTACAACTGGCATGTAGATGCATGAAAACATAAGTGTTTACATCAGCTCCTGGCAGCTAAAGCCATGGTAAGGAGTAAAGTAACATTCAGCCCACAACAAAAAGTGAAGAAAGCACATTTCCATTTGCAGCACTAACCAGTAGTGTGGCATGGAAGCATGATGGAAAGGTTTATTATAACTACTGGCTACGTCAATAGGGCCCTGATCAACGTACAAAGAAAATGAGTCGGGAGTACAAAGCATTCTGCCATTTCTATTGCTTCTGGTGCTGTATTGATCACACTCCAGCTCAGCAAACCCAGTTGTACACCATACCCAGCGGAACCAATTGAGCACCACTTCAGAGAAGTCCTATTTCATTCCTGAAGCAAGGCATAGTTAAGCTTATTATTGGATTTGACCTTTTCCTTGAAAGTAAAGCCTTGTATATACCTGGCGCGAACATGCGTCCTTTGTCCTGATCTTGTCCACATTGAGTGCCCACATTTTCAGAAATATGTCAACATGTTATTAAAATGTCTAATATCCATCTTCTGTGTCTGCATTGTGACTAGAGTTCCAGATCCCTCCCTGTATGCAAATGATTTGACAGCTATTCTTTCAAAATAATATTGATTTGTTTTAAGACACATATCGATGCCATAAATCAATGGTGCCACCAGTCAATGATTTCAGAAGGGATGATGATGATTTAAATGGTTTCACTGTCCAGATCTGTCTACACTTGTAAGATATCCAGACTCACAATGAGTCTTTTAATTGTCTACACCCATCTGAAAATGTGGGCACAATCAGAATGTGGACAAGATCAGGACAAGGATGCATGTTAGAACCAGGTATAAACGGCTTAAAGGAAGAGCAACATTTTGCAATGTTCAGAAGCAAACAGGACTCAACTGAAACTGTTCTGAAGATGGCAACTCTGCTGAATAATCCAGTCCTTGTAAAACTCAAGGATGTAAGACCTCACAGTGCTTTGTACACTTGGCTCATACATAAGTCTGCAGGGGAGAGGTCAACAAAGACTTGACATATGTTTGACAATGAAGACAAAAAAACAAAGCAAAATTGGAGACTTACCAGCACAATATTAAATGTACAAAAATATCCATTGCCACCACGATACAAACCAATGACCTCTTGGGTGAACTCACGTCAACTAGGCTCGGCAACAAACTTCAGAAACTGTTCTTGTCATAGAAGACATCTACCCCCATATTAACACAAAGAAAAAGAAAAAATACAAAATAAAACAAATATAAAACAGGTATTTACACCTTGCACAAGGAAAAGGCCTGATTTTTGCTACCTGTAAAAATTCAATTTAGGTCTATATTCAATCCGTATCGCTGAAGTTTAGCGCTATAGCGTGATTGAAATGTACAGGTAATTTTAGATTGAGCCGACATATGCAGCATTTACCGTGAATGCAGTCTCCGCTAACGCGGGAACATTGACTTTAAATTGCTATCGTGCTGTAGTGCTGAACTTCTGCGATACGGATTGATTCGAGCCCTTACATTGTACTTCATTCGTACCTTATCATCTACAGACAACTTTCACTCCTGGTTAATTTCCTTTAACTGAATTGTACAGTTTGTTACATAGTTTAAAAAGGTAGAATATGAAAACAATTCTTATATGTAATACTTATAATGCCACGCTTGCTGCCAGTCAAATAGGATAAGACAACTTTGCTCTGGTACAATTCAATTTCCTAGCGTGTCTATCATTGCTTTCAGGTGGAGTACCAAAGAGTTGAGTATCGACTGGCGCAGTAGGTCCTCCCCTCTGCTGCCAAGGCCAACTCAGCCCAGTACTGACTGGCTGTAGTGCATCTAAACAGTGCCCAAAGTTCAGTGAAGCTACTCCAAACAAAGCTCTAGACAGTAGCTCCATCTTTTCACTTCCATTTAAAACCTTACACATACAACTTCCTTTTCTTGTCTTCTTCTCCTAAGACAACTTGATGAAATATCAATGCCCTTTCATAGGTGACCCTTTCTGGTGTCCAGCCAAAGGGGTTAAAGGTCAGGGAAGCGGGTGGGGTCCTCTTTGTACTCATTGGCTATGGTGAAGATGGACTCCTCAAACTCGTCGTAGCGGAACTCTTGAAAAGTCACCGTGGCCGTGATGGTTGGAAAGACAGGGATATCTGTGTGGAGAAACGACAAATGTAAACATGTTATAACATCAGGGAATATAGCTGGTCAGCCAGTAGGCGTCCAACTAGATCTCTTATATTGTAGAATATGTTTCCCACTAACTAAGCAGTATACTATACATAGTACTTACCCAGTTTGACAGGGAAACCAGGAGGGAGTTTCATTTGAACAAACTCTCTGAGTTTATTAAAGTGCTTGAAGGGTGCTATCACCTCTAGAACGTTTAATAACCTAAAAATTAACAACAAAAAAGATCAGTCTTTCATTCTCACTCAATAAAGAATGGGTTTCATGCATCACTTCATGCCAGAGAGTACAGTAAGCTACAGTCACTAGCACATTCAATGAGTGATGGGGATAATCATGAGAAAATGAGGCCTCTGCACACCACAAAAGTGAGGTTTTCATTTTTTTTGTGTGTGATTACTGATCAATTAATTTATGTATTGTTGTCTGTCACTTGTTTTCTTTGGTGCAAATAAATACATGCACTGTGTCAATCAACCTTTTAAGCCCAGAATAAGTTAAAACTCCGATTTCAATACTTTATGGGGAAAAAATGAACGTTATTAAAATGTATCCTGTCTGGCAACTACTGCTGTCTGTCTAGACTTCAAGGTCGTCTGGGGGTAATAGAAGAGGAGACTTACGATTCAATGCCCAGAGGGAAGTCTTGACTCATGGCTACGGTCGCTTTGAAGTTTTTCTTGCTCTCTTTGCATACCAGGTCTCTTCCTAGATGAGGCACTCTGAAGGAGAAGAATGTCAGTCAGAAAATGAGGTGAACACTTTTGAAGGAAAAAAAAGGAAAGAGAGAATCCCCCTGGGGAGGAGTACAAGTAGTGCAAGGTCTGACTAACTGTGTTCCTGAAAGTAAATTACTGATGGGAGAGAGTGAATAGATATTACATGATAGGGTGAATATGGCAGATCAGCTCAGTTCCTAGCTCTGCACCGTACTGCAGAGAAAATACTTTATGTCCACACAATTTTTAAAATGTGTTGTAATAAATGGTATGGATACGATGCAATTAATAATTTGAACAGGGGGAGGAGACGTGTGTCTCTTTGTTAACAACAGTTGGTGCGTGATCTCCAATGTTAAGGAAGTCTCAAGTTTTTGCTCGCCTGAGTTAGATTACCTCATGATGCAATCCATATTATTTACCAAGAGAGTTTTCATCTATATTTTTCGTAGCAGTCTATTTACCACCACAAAACAATTCTGGCACTAAGACCGCACTCAACAAACTGTATAGGGCTATAAGCAAACAAGAAAATGCACATTCAGAGGCAGTGTTTCTCGTGGTCAGTGATTTTAATGAAGGGAAACTGAAATCTGTTTAACCTCACTTTTACCAACATGTCACCTGTGCAACTAGAGGTGACAAAACTCTAGATCACCTTTACTCCAAACACAGAAACGCATACAAGGCCCTCCCTCGCCCTCCCTTTAGCAAATCAGACTATAACTCTAACCTCTCCCTTCCTGCTTACAATCAAAAACTCAAACAGAACGTACCACCCACATTAAAAAATACTACACTATGGTATGAATACTATAGTATTCACTGTAGTGTTTTTGCGAACAAAAGTCTGTAGGAAAAGTAGGAAAAGAAAACTGTAGTATATACTATAGTATTTACTGTGGTGTTTTTGGACTGTAGTATACTGTAGTATTTTTGCAGAAATTACTGTAGTATTTACTATAGTGTTTTTGTTTTATATTTTACATAAAGTAGAAGTGGAGACTTTCTCCTTGAGGAAACCTACTTGAGAAATAATATACTGAGTAATACAAAGGCAACATGTAAAGTGTTGGTCCCATGTTTCATGAGCTGAAATAAAAGGTGCCAGAAAATGTCCATACGCACAAAAATATTAGTTATCTCAAATTTTGCTAAATAAATGTTTACATCAGTGTTAGTGAGCATTTCTCCTTTGCCAAGATAATCAATTCACCTGAAGGGTGTCTCATATCAAGAAGCTGGTTAAACAGCATGATAATTACACAGGTGCAACTTGTGCTGGGGACCATAAAAGGCCACTCTAAAATGTGCAGTTTTGTCACACAATGCCACAAATGTCTCAGGTTTTGAGGGAGCGTGCAATTGGCATGCTGTCTGCAGAAATGTCCCCCAGAGCTGTTGCCAGAGAATTGAATGTTCATTTCTTTACCATAAGCCGCGTCCAACTTCGTTTTAGAGAATTTGGCAGTACGTCCAACCGCCCTCACAGCCGCAGACCACGTGTAACCACGCCAGCCCAGGACCTCCACATCCTGCGTCTTCACCTGCGTGATCTTCTGAGACCAGCCAACTGGACAGCTGATGAAACTGTGGGTTTGCACAACCGAAGAATTTCTGCACAAACTATCAGAAACCGTCTCAGGGAAGCTCATCTGCATGCTCGTCGTCCTCACCAGGGTCTTGACCTGACTGCAGTTCGGCGTCGTAACTGACTTCAGTGGGCAATTGCTCACTTTCGATGGCCACTGGCACGCTGTAAAAGTGTGCTCTTCACGGATGAATCTCGGTTTCAACTGTACCGGGCAGATGGCAGAGAGCCCGGTACAGATGGTTTGTTGATGTCAATGTTGTGAACAGAGTGCCCCATGGTGGCGGTGGGGTAATGGTATGGGCAGGCATAATCTACGGACAAAGAAAACAACTGCATTTTATCGATTGCAATTTGAATGCACAGAGATACCGTGACGAGATCCTGAGGCCCATTGTCGTGCCATTCATCCGCCGCCATCACCTCATGTTTCAGCATGATATTGCACAGCCCCGTGTTGCAAGAATCTGTACACAATTCCTGGAAGCTGAAAATCTCCCAGTTCTTCCATGGCCTGCATACTCACCAGACATGTCACCCATTGAGCATTTTTGGGATGCTTTGGATCGACATGTACGACAGCGTGTTCCAGTTCCCGCCAATATCCAGCAACTTCGCACAGCCATTGAAGAGGAGTGGGACAACATTCCACAGGCCACAATGTCACGCTGCATGTGGCAAATGGTGGTCACACTAGATACTGACTGGTTTTCTGATTCACGCCCCTACTTTTTTTTGTAGGTATCTGTGACCAACAGATGCATATCTGTATTCCAGTCATGTGAAAACCATAGATTAGGGCCTGATTTCCTTATATGAACTGTAACTCAGTAAAATCTTTGAAATTGTTGCATGTTGTGTTTATATTTTTGTTCAGTGTAAAAAAAAAAGAGCACAACCTGTAGGTAGGTAGGTAGGTGCGTGCTCAGTCCCCTCCTGTACTCCCTGTTCACTCATGACTGCATGGCCAGGCACGACTCCAACACCATCATTAAGTTTGCCGATGACACAACAGTGGTAGGCCTGATCACCGACAATGATGAGACAGCCTATAGGGAGGAGGTCAGAGACCTGGCCGTGTGGTGCCAGGTCAACAACCTCTCCCTAAACGTGATCAAGACAAAGGAGATGATTGTGGACTACAGGAAAAAGAAGAGGACAGAGCACGCCCCCATTCTCATCGACGGGCTGTAGTGGAGCAGGTTGAGAGCTTCAAGTTCCTTGGTGTCCACATCACCAACAAACTAACATGGTCCAAGCACACCAAGACAGTCATGAAGAGGGCACGACAAAACCTATTCCCCCTAAGGAGACTGAAAAGATTTGGCATGGGTCCTCAGATCCTCAAAAGGTTCTACAGCTGCACCATCGAGAGCATACTGCCTGGTATGGCAACTGCTCGGCCTCCGACCGCAAGGCACTACAGAGGGTAGTGCGTACGGCCCAGTACATCACTGGGGCCGAGCTCCCTGCCATCCAGGACCTCTATACCAGGCGGTGTTAGAGGAAGGCCCAAAACATTTTCAAAGACTCCAGCCACCCAAGCCATAGACTGTTCTCTCTGCTACCGCACGTCAAGCAGTACCAGTGCACCAAGTCTGGAACCAACAGGAACCTGAACAGCTTCTACCCACAAGCCATAAGACTGCTAAACAAGACTGCTAAATAGCTAATCAAATAGCTAATCAAATGGCTCCAGGACTACCTGCATTTACCGTTTTTTGCACTAACTCTCTTGCACTGACTCTACACACACACACTGGACTCTACCCACACACACTCACACATAATTACACTGACACCCCAACACACACACACACACACACTGCATACGCCCACACACATATAACATGCACACACATGCATACTGACGCCACACACACACACACTTTCACACTCACCACATACGCTGCTGCTACTGTCTGTTATCTATCCTGGTGCCTAGTCACTTAACCCTTACCTATCTGTACATAGCTACCTCAATTACCTCGTACCCCTGGACATCAACTTGGTACAGGTACTCCCTGTATATCCAGTGCGAACCCCGATGGATCTTCTACTTAAAAACTACACCCCCAAGAGTTGAATGAGGAATTGGACCTTGTATGTTTCCTGTAGTGTTGTCTACACGCACCAGCAGTCCCAGCCGCTCTCTGAGCTTTTCAGCCTACTTGAGTATTTCATATCTATTGCTTCTGATATTGTTATGTAGCCCAGACGGTTGTCTCTTTCCAATTATGTGACATTTGAATTGTCCATTTTTGATACTCTTCTATATATTCCTTGTTAATATGCTTTGACTCCCTATTCACCAGTATCTAATCAACTATCTGCCTGCACCTGTTGCGCACAGCAGGTGTGTCTTCTTAAGTAGTTTGTACCTGGCACTTCCACTTTTTGTATTCTTTCGAGCATGGATTAAATTAATTACATTATTTTTGCATCTCGGCCTCCTTGGGTTATTCCTCTTGAGTGTGAGTACTTTCCGAACACTACAGATATTTTCTCTCCCACGCACCGGCCGCCATTCATTCTAGCCTGAGCGCTAACCCTCATACTGGCTTTCTACTCCCTATATCCATGTTATTTTTTATTCTTTATTGTTATTCACTGTGTATTTTTAACTCTGCATTATTGGAAAAGGACCTTTAAGTAAGCATACACCTGTTCTAAAATGTGATTTGATTAGATGTATGTAGACATTTGAGATTAACAATGAGGAAGAGTGCACTCGTGAAAGGAAGCGTGTAAGAAGTGTACTTGTGAGAAGGTGATGGTCACACATACTTTCCGTTTTCTGTGTTGATGTAGTCCTCCCAGGAGATAGTGTTGGGTGAAGGGGCAGTTAGTGACTGTCGCCTCACAGGCTAAAGAGAGAGGGAACACACATGAATGGCAAGAACAGACACCTGGCAATACAAAGCTACACAGAACAAAGTCAGACATCAAACTGAGCATGGGAATAACACAAATATCATAAAGTCAGACATCAAACTGACTACAAAGAAAACCAAAAACACATTCAGACATAAACTGCACACTAAAAGCAAAACAATCCCAAGCTAATCACTTCAAAAGGGATTTTTTTAATGAGCTTCTCAAAATGGCTTTATGTTTTTGCTAAATTGTTTAAGATTTTGCCTGCATCCACCTGAGGTGAATGAAATGTAGGATGCACAACCACATTTGTGCCAATAGAGGGCCCAAATACATCACTAATACTGAGAGTGGGAGTGACCGCATGAACAACACACTGCCAGTGGTAAAAACAACTTGATGATTTTACAGCTGCACACAAACTGCATGAAAGAAAAGTGGTCATTTCATTAAAGCACAGACTCAGTCGTTAATTCTCGACACGTGCCTCGTCACCAGCACCTTGACCTTAGGTTATCATCTCTCTGGACATCAAAGTAGCCACGGTCATCGAAATTGTTAAAAGGTTTTAATAAATGCAACAGTTGGACAATGGATGAAGATACTCCAAACGTTTTGAATTTGTATAATCCATCAGATATTGACTGAATACTTACTGGCACCGACAATCAATGAATGGAATTCAGGGATTTGGTGGGAATTCAGCTATTAAATGTAATGTAAAATGCTCTCTTAGAATGCACTCATACATTTTCTTATTGTATCAGCAAATAGTTGTTATTTTGTGTTAAAATAAAGAAAATTACATGTGCCTCATTTGCATAAATACACCATGTGTGTTTGCATATATGAATACATCAACATAAAGGTGTGGAACAGGGCAGCAACCACCAAACACTCGCTCTGTCTACCCTACCTGCACTCACCAGGGCTGCATTCAGTACGTTTTTACGTTCTCGAACGTTCAATTGAACGGAAAAGGTGCTGTACTGAACGACCAGTTGAAAAACGGGGAGGTTGGGGAACGCTGTCAGCATAGCAACTGCCCTTTAAATACGTCACTCATTGCTTCAAGCCACACCTCACCACACCCACCAAACGTACCTCAAAGTCTGTTCAAGAACGTTTTGGGGAAACGTGTCGTTCAGTACAAACCGTTCCGTAAAGTAGCAAACGTTCAAGTGAACTGAACGCACCTCTGCCTAGACTGCCTCATTAATGACTGATGTTGTCACGTTCTCTTGCAACAAGGGTGTCAATAGCAGGATACCCTCGGATTAAAAATCAAGACGCTTGGCTCTAGATTACACCTATCTAAACATACTTTACATTGTTTGCAAGATCAAACATAATATCATTATAATCAGTGTTCATTTTCGGAAGTTGCTTTCATTTCAGCGCATCTAATTTGTAAACATTTCAACTGTATTAAATGATTACTTTTTTAAATTCCACAAAAAAATGTACACCCATTAAAATAAAGTTATTGTTCTTCTCTTTCTTGTGATGTAGGTGTCGCGACGGTGCGTTAAATTCCCGACAAAGCTTTAACGTTCTTATAGATTCAATGGAAAGACAATGTTTTCCCTTGAACCCATTTCAGCCATTACCGGAGTGTTTGACAGGTCATTACAAACGTTAACGGGAAAAAAATAACTACAGGCACAAGCAAGAGTATGAAAGAGTTGCAGGAGTAACATGAAAGCACTCAATCCAGCGAGATTTATTAAGTGACAAGTGGATTTTGCACCCCTCAAACACAGGAAATAGATGGCTGAAAAATACAGATCCTTGGGTGGGTGGGGCATGCGCGTTGCTAGCAATGGACACAGGCTTACTACCTCACATAGGTTAGCACACCTGGCTCCTCAACAGTAGGCTACTGCCAATACTGAGGCCTTGGCAACCTAGAGGATACCAACCAATGCACGTCCACAAATACGCATGTATGCACAAACACACATGCACACCCACACTAATACTGAACTCTCTCTAACTGACCCCTCACTATGAGTGGCTGTGTTTTCTGAAACTTGAATTGAGAAGCATCCACTATAATGTACTATGGCCTACTTCAAAAGAAGAAAGACAGAACTGGCACCAGATGATACAGTCAGTATCCCATCATTCAAACGTAGGGTTCCCTTTACTTCAAACGGGACAATGTTATTATCCCTATGCAACCCTGAGCGGTGGTGGATCACAGTGTTTTGATACATTTGCTGTGGCCTCATGATGGGCGTTGGCTCGCACACCTCTCGCTCCCACCGCTCCTGTTGTTGTGACGGGGGCAGAGTACACACAGCCTCCGGCCCGTGATCTCCTGGTATGCCAGTCCGTCTGTCGGCCGTGCCCCCCGTCGCTCCGTGGCACCAGGGGTTTTAGCCTTCATCCACACAGTCAATAGTACAGAGCCCTGCTTTAAACCCCGCTATCTGTGTCCCCAGGCGCCGCACTGACCCGCTCTGCTATGCCACCACCGCCGGAGTAAACAGAGGGGGACGTCAGTGCTGGGACGAACTCGGACTGTTATTTTTCCCTCAACCTACTTCTGCAAAACAGTTTACACTGAGCAGGGAAATACTTATACAAACATGGATGGATGCAAAATGGATTGTGTAAGCAGTTTTTCCCGTTCAATACTGTGCTGACCTGACCTTAACCTATATGCTCACAGGTTTTAATACTGGTTAAATACACAGTAAAAATAAACTTTGGACAACCGATGAAAAATGCTTAAAAACATTTACCATCACAGTACAAGGACAACAATACTACAGGAAGTACATACCATAGGACACATTGACAACACAAAACCCAGTTCATGACAGGACAGGACCAACGAAAACAACAGAGCCGCTAAAAAGCATATATTGAGCATTGTGAGACTGTGACTGTGCAGTGCTTAGACAAGGGCTCCCAAAGCAAACTCTAGAACGATCTAGAGGCCCAAAGAGAGGGAAAGCACTGGAACTGTGTGTAAAGTTCAGCTATGAGCTTCCATCACTAGAGGGGGCTGCTGTGCCTGGTATATATGCACTAGGGTGGAGGAAGGGGGTAAAAATGCCACAAACGAGGATCAGAAGTGTGGTTTTCATTCCGACAGACAGTATGTCCAAATAAAACTACAAATAAACCCAAGGGGGGGTGATGAGTCCAACTGAAGTATTTCCAAATAAACCATGCAGACGTGTTTTACATCAAAAGAGCCCTATGCTAAGGGATAAGATGTGACGCTCTCGTGGTCCATGTAGCATTGACATGTTTTGGTAGGAGTGACTGGAGGTGAGACGAGATCCCATAGGATGGTGATATAAGAGTGTCAAGCAGTGGGGTCAGAGGGCCTACCCCGAGGGTCCAGAGGGAGAGGAGATTTTCAGGACTGGACTCACAGTTTGGCTGCAGGTACAAGCAAACAGTACCTTCACTTAACACACAGCGCCTAGCTCACACCCCCAACAGGTGACATCATACCAGTAGGCTCCAGCAGAACGTTCTGGATATGAAAATATGGTTAAGAGTTGGATGAATGTTTACATTGTGGCCATATACACGTACTCTGCAGCCAGAGGACCTCACAGCGGAGCTCACCTCGTAGTTCTGCTCAATAAGGTTCCCTCCTTTGCTCAGGCTCTCCATGATGGCCTTGTTCCTCAGGATGTCCTCCTCGCTCAGGTGCTCCCGACGCTTCCGTGACTCCAGCACCAGCCCGTTCACCGAGTAGAAATCCGCTAGGAAATTTCCCACACGCTCCTGGAGCGACAAAGGTCAAGAAAATAAAACCTATTGAGTCATCAATTTCCCTTCAATAAACCTCAAAGGACCAAGACAGACAGCAATACCCCCCCCCCCCCACCACCACCACCACGTGAACCCTCCCCTCAGGTGAACACCTGTGGCTCTCCCAGGAGGCTTATCAAACACGACCACTATGTTTTGGTTACTCTGTTGCCTTTGAACTTTGTTTTGGGGAGATAGAACGCAGGAAATGTGAAAAGGACATGGGCGTCCTGTACTGCATTGAATAACAAGACTGTACTGTAGATTAGCAGAGGTCACATTTTGAGACGGAGAGGTTGTATTCGACAAAGTGATGTATAAACCAACCGTTTTGTCCTCTCGGAACAGCCAGCCAGTCTGGGCTCTGGAGAAGGTGATGGACTTGGTGGAGAGAGTGGCAGAGTAAACATCACTGCTCATAAGGATGTCCACCTCTTCCTCTGTCTCCATCTCTGACTCCTGGAACACAAGGAGCCACCGCCACGCTAGTAAGCAGGTACAGCCCTCTGATACACACTTCACAGACACAGGGATCATTTTGAAAGGCAGAATACAAGACAGCGAGGGTCATTAGCTAGACTTCTGCAAGCAGAAATGCAAGAGGGTATGTTTGTGTGCGTGTGTGTGTGTGTGTATTTGTGTGTCTGCGTGCGTACGTGTATGTGCACGTGTGTTTGTGTGTGTACGTGCATGTGTCTCACCTCGTGGTGTATCCGCTGGTACACCTTCTGTTCATTGTCCAGCACCACAAAGGACTCAGAGGGGTTGGCGTCGCCTTTGAAGATGAAACTAAGGTCACCCCGCTGGCACTTCATATCTGTGAAGTTTATTAGGGTGGTATCCAGTCTAAGACCAAACAGACAGAAAGGGAAGGAGAGATAGAATTGAAATTCAAACCACTTCATGGGTCAATATAATGTCAATAGCACCAGCAACAGCACATTAAAACAGCACATATTGCCTATAGTTCATTTGTATGCTTATTGCTTAATCACATCTACATAATCCCTCCACACCCCTCAAAAACCAAAAGAAGATTGAAAGAAGCAATGAGAAATAGAGAAAGAGAGAGACACACAGTGAGGGAGACACACACACACCAAGTATAAGGACAAGTACACTTCCTTGTTACCAAGCAACATACAGCGTAAAAGTGAAGCTTTTTTCAATAAAACTAAAGAACTAAAACTTGGTTTCTAAAAGCTCGGAGACAGCTTTTGCGTTAATAGTTGTAGTTGCCATGGGCGACAACCCCCATTTCTATGTTTTCCGACAAAAGCTAGTTTCATGGAGTAGTGGAGGAATGAGGTGTGACAACAAAGAGAATAACTAAACTACTGTATGGGCTGCACATAGACACAAAGTGGAGAGTGAGAGGTACGACAGAGCTGAGAATTTCAACCATTGGAATGTAAATGAAGTTATGCCAAGGTCGGTCTCTCTCCCCACCTCTGGAATATCAAACAGACATTTTGAAAGCCTATTAGACAGCTTCCAACCCTGGTAAATAAATTATAACCCTTCACCACTTTCTCACCACCACACACAAACACTTTCATGTGTCAGAATGATTTGCCCTGAATCTCCAGTGTTGGATAGAGCATGGTAGAGGGGGTGGGGAGGAGGGGGGCAATTAGTGAGGCAGGTAACCTAGCAACGCTTTAAAACTCTTTCATTTGTCTGTGTGTGTGTGTGTGTTTGTTTGTGTGCTTCAGTGTGCATGTTTGTCACGTGTGTCAGTGCTGTGTGGGGTAAAATACAGGCCCTTTGAAGAACAACACAGCCTGAACCTGGCTTCTTCTCACTGAACACTGAAGCGTGTGAAGCTCAGCAGAACAGCATACATTAACCAGCCTGCTAACACCAGAGAAGCAATTCTACCTGTATTGTGTACTCCAACTGGTGAATAGTGTTTTGTTACTGGATGGGGGATAATTGAATGTGACTACTCGGCGCTGGTCCAATTATAATGGAGCCGGTAGGTGGGTAGAGTTAGGGCAAAGGTACGTGCTGGTTCTCTATCTAAGTGTAATTATTTGGAGAGGTGCGCAAAGGTAATAGATCTGCAAACAGATTCCGTGCTACTCACTCACAGCAGTGCGAGAACGGATTTCACGCTCTAGTTAACCAAGCTTGTCGTTAGCCGCCCTGCTGGCGCTACACCATCCCATAAGCTGGGAGAGGGTGTAGTGTTCAAAGCCAGGGATTTCTAATCAACTGACAAGGGCCCTAAAAGCCTGAAAGTGCTTCAATAAAGGGCTTTGTCAAGGCATATTTACTTTTATTATCGTGGGTTTTACCATATCACATTGCCCTTTTCAGTATAATACTGAAGGCTGAGGACATCACTCCGGAGAAGCACCAGTCTAGTAAATGTTGTTGGACAGAGGTGGCTCCTCGGGTATGTCCATAGGGCAAACATCAGTACCTGACTCTTTTTGCATTCAATAAGACTGCATCTCTGCTCTGCCAACACTATGACCAGATGGCTGGGGCAGAAACAGACGGGCACCCAACCAAGACTAAAGATTGGTGATGATCAGTGTATCGACTCAGCAACATTGTGTATTGTGTTTGTGTGTGGACAAGCTGTACATAGCTGTAGCAGCTGAGACCAGTACGGACAGACCGATCTGTCCAAGGCATAGCCAAGGTCTATCAGTGATACTGTGTTTATTCTTACATGTGTTGTGTTGTTATCTGTTTGGCATGCTTATTTCTTACAATGATATCATCTTATGTCTTATCTATTGGCTTCAAGCTAATTATTGCTTGTTACAACTTCATGAAAACAAGGGATTTGTAAAGGATTACTTGACTTACCTGATGTTGATGCCGTGTTTGTAGATCTTACACACGTCAGAGGGCAGGATTCGGGAGAGCAAAGGTACTGCAACATGGGAAAAAGACATGGGGATGTCGATAGGCCTAAGTGTAGAAACTCCACTTAATAATGAAAATCACCAACCGCTTCAGAGCCCATGTCAGCAATATGTAGTTCTGCAGTTTAATATGTAATGCTCTTTACAAGCTATGTGCAAGTACAGTATGAGACCACTTCAAACCCTTGGAGGGCACCATCCATGTTCCAATCACCACACTAACATGCCATAATATATTGCTTCATTCTAATGTACAATATTCCGTTTGATCTGCGCTAGTACAGACTGGACAATGTGTCTGTTTGAGACCGTTCTACCCCCAGCATATTGAATAGGGCTGGTGGGGCCCTGGTCTCTCTCAATGTGTGTGCAGTGCGTAACACTTGGGGTGTATTCTGTGAGGCAAAACGTTCAGAACGTTGAAATGGAATGTATAGAGCTGGCACAATTCCCTATTATATCTCCTCTGCACTATACATTTCTATCTGAACGTTCTGTAAAGTTTCACCCTCCTGAACAGTCCTAATAGAAAGGCATCTCCCAATACATTCTTTGTATTTGAGCCCTTGCCACTCAGGGGCACTACATTCCCTGTCAAATACTACCAACTGACACTTACACAATCAACAACCATTTCTTTACTGTTGTGAACAGTCACTTAATCTTTACAAGCAGGTCAATATTTAATGGGACATGTTGACACACTGTTAGCTTGCTCTCTGGGGTCCACTAGACATTTAGCCAAATAAATGTGGGACATTTGTAACAGCATTTCTTCTATAATTAATTCAGTGAAATGGTAGGAAGATCAATGGATCTAAAAGATAAGCTTAATTGATGTAAACATTCATAGGCCTTAGTAATGCTGGTGGTGCGACGTTGTAATGACATATAGCCACCACCAGGGGGAGGGTCTGTCTGTGTGGGGATGGCAAGGCCACTCCCTACAGAGGATTACCTCAGTGTTGTAAACAATCTCTCAGCATCGCTTTGTTCCCAACCAGCTGAGCAGAGAGCCCTTACTGACACCCACATAACTGGGCTCCACATTAACACACACACTCTTTCTCTCTCTCGCTCTCTCACACTCACACACACACACACACACAGTTTAACAACGTCAACCATCCTAGTATTTCTAAATCAATTTTAACCTAGGTAGATGCACTTTGTGTAGTTAAAAATTGCAAAGAAACTGAACCGTTGTAGTGATTTGGCCTGATTGTGGGCAATTTTATCATATACTTATATAGAATGCAAAGCAAACTCACCCCAGCTTTGAAAGTCCCAGTGAAGCTCCAGATAAAAGTCTCCCAGCTGAAACCCCCACCCCCCCCCCAACAGAATAACAATATGATTATCAATCAAAATATACCAGAGGGAGTAACTGAAAGGAACAGTAGACCTGATAAACATTTCTGTATCCAACATATATTTTCTTGAATGAGTTTTGGATCCAATATGTAGTTCAAATGCTCTGAAATTACACAGCTGGCCCACCTAATCTCAGGGTACTACTGAGAAAAACCTCCAGTGATGTAATATGAATGATTGCGCATCTCTGAGAAATATAATCCCCTGCAGTCAGGAGAAAATCTATCTCTAACATGCTACGCCCGCTGCATCACAGGAATTACAGTATAACATTCTCGCATCTAACACAGGAGAGGCTCCAAGGCCAAGCCTAGAGCTGCTCTTTTATCCCCTTCCTCCACCGCTCTCTCCTTCCCTTTATCACTCAGGTTCATCCCCTTGGGGAGTCACAGTTAACCTGGCAGTGGCCTATGCCCAGAGCACTAGATGTTTATGCCCACAGAGAACATCATGCCAGCCACAGCGCTGCAAGGCTCCCCAAAGCCCAGACTATCAACTGTGTGTGTGCATGTGTGTGTGCATGTGTATGTGTGTGGAGTGGAAGCATCTGCCTACCCCTGTGTCATGCCATCCAGGGAGGTTTGTGAGAATGTCACCTTTCCTGCAGGTTGACCCTCCCCCTCCCTCCCTTCCCCCAGGGCCCATGTTGCTGTCTGTCTGCATATTCCTTGAGCGTAGGTGGGCTGGGGGGTATGCTTACTGCATGCCGAGGGCTGTACTATGGGGCCGCTTTGTTGTGATTACCCTAGTTAGTGTGTGACTGAGTGACTGAGAGAGGGTCTGGGTCTGTGTGTGTCTGTGCGTGCCGCAGAGTGGCATTTCTGACTGGGAGCACTCTGCTGGCAGATGTGGAGTGAGTACACAGCCTGCCCCACAGCGCAATGGATCATGCTTCATTTTGGGAGAGGAGTAAGGCGGGGAGGGGAGAGGTGGGGAGCAGAGGATAGGGAAGAGGGTAGAGACGAGATGGGAATACACAATATATCAGCCTTCATGTCGGTATCAGATATGAGGGATCAGGGATATGAAACAAGAGGAGAGAGAGAGAGAGAGAGAGAGAGAGAGAGAGAGAGAGAGAGAGAGAGAGAGAGAGAGAGAGAGAGAGAGAGAGAGAGAGAGAGAGAGAGAGAGAGAGAGAATGTACCGTACCTCTTTGAGGGCGTTCAGTAGCTTTGGCCTCTTGTCCTCCACATTCTCTCTGGACTGCTGTTTGAGCTTCCTTAGCAGCGCTGTGACTGACAGAGAGAAGAGAGGAGGGAGGGAGGGGTGAGACCAAAACAACTACATACGGTTAGGGTACAGTATTGTTCCCGGGAGAACAAAGATATGGGCCCTGTGTAGCTCAGTTGGTAGAGCATGGCGCTTGCAACGCCAGGGTTGTGGGTTCGATTCCCACGGGGGGCCAGTATGATTATTATTTTTATGTATGCACTCACTAACTGTAAGTCGCTCTGGATAAGAGCGTCTGCTAAATGACTAAAATGTAAAAATGTAAAATATGAAAATGCACATAATGAACCTTCCGATGTACACATATAATCTCAAGTGATTTATATATACACTAGACGAATAACAGGGGGTGCTGTTTTGAAGCCACCGCAAATCTCCTCCCATCATTGTAAAACATATTTTGAAGCTATAGAAACACATTTTAAAAATACACTTAGCATGCCGTATTGCAGGTTGATTTTTAGAATTGTTTGTTTCAATATGAGTGTTTTTGGTTTCACATTGATTGATTGATCTTATGCTACACAAAGATAAATAACATACATTTTCTAAACTAATTCAATCTGTTAGTAGTTGGACTTATTGCACCCATTTCTGAGATGGTTGTTCCCATTTAGATGCTTTAGGTGGTCTCATTTATACATTTTCCCTACCTTGGCAATCATTCTAAATGCAGGTTGCAGGTGATTAAAAGTTCACATTTTGGGATATCCTTACTCTGGCTGTACATACAGTGCCTTCGGAAAGTATTCAGACCCCTTGACCTTTTCCACATTTTGTTACGTTACAGCCTTATTCTAAAATTGATTAAATTATTTTTTCCCTCATCAATCTACACACAATACCCATAATGACAAAGCGAAAACAGGTTTTTATACATTTTAACAATTACTCAGTACTTTGTTGAAGCACCTTTGGCAGCGATTACAGCATCGAGTCTTCTTGGGTATGACGCTTGGCACACCTGTATTTGGGGAGTTTTTCCCATTCTTCTCTGCAGATCCTCTCAAGCTCTGTCAGGTTGGATGGGGAGCGTTACTGCACAGCTATTTTGAGGTCTCTCCAGAGATGTTCTATTGGGTTCAAGTCCGGCCTCTGGCTGGGCCACTCAAGGACATTCAGAGAGTTGTCCTGAAGCCACTCTTGCATTGGCTGTGTGCTTTGGGTTGTTGTCCTGTTGGAAGGTGAACCTTTGCCCCAGTCTGAGGTCCTGAGTGCTCTGAAGCACATATATTCCAGGAAGTTCAAAGAGGGGAAGAGTCTGGGAGATGAACAATAAAGTTGACCGTTAATGAGATACGTCTGTAAGCGCTTTAATGACCCGAAGGAGGCAAAACAGAATATACTTTTAACCAGGACGGCCCAGCTTTCCTGACTGGCTGGCTAATATGAGCTCGCTTGTTTTCAAACAAATAAGATCAAGCCGAAACAGCCACATCCGACTAATGTTTATCCATGATTTTTGAGAGAGGTGGGAACAACAGCTAATTGCAGTTATGGAGGTGTCAGGGGATTAAACGACAATGGGGCAATCCACCTTTAATATGCTTTTAGAAGAAAACACAGCTTTTATTTACACAGGAAGGTGACTATCGGGTTTTTGGTCACCTCCCTGACCAAGGCCCTTCTCCCCCGATAGCTCAGTTTGGCCGGGTGGCCAGCTCTAGGAAGAGTCTTGGTGGTTCCAAACTTCTTCCATTTAAGAATGATGGAGACCACTGTGTTCTTGGGGACCTTCAATGTTGCAGACATTTTTTGGTACCCTTCCCAGATCCGTGCCTCGACACAATCCTGTCTCAGAGCTCTACGGACAATTCCTTCAACCTCATGGCTTGGTTTTTGCTCTGACATGCACTGCCAACTGTGGGACCTTATATAGGCAGGTGTGTGCCATTCCAAATCATGTCCAATCAAGTAGATTTACCACAGGTGGACTCCAATCAAGTTGTAGAAACATCTCAAGGATGATCAATGGAAACAGGATGCACCTGAGCTCAATTTCGAGTCTCATAGCAAAGGATCTGAATACTTATGTAAATAAGGTATTTCTGTTTTTTTAAAATTAAACATTTGTTAAAATTTATAAAAATCTGTTTTCGCATTGTCACTTTGGGGTATTGTGTGTAGATTGCTGAGAAGAAGAAAAACATATTTAATCCATTTTAGAATAAGGCTGTAATGTAACAAAATATGGAAAAAGTCAAGGGATCTGAATACTTTCCAAATGCGCTGTATGTCTTTGGGTTATCGAGGTACTTTACCTCACTTCTACCATCATGTCACCTGTACAACTAGAGGAGCCAAAACTCTAGATCAGCTTCACTCCACACACAGAAACGCATACAAAGCTCTGCCTCGCCCTGCACTGCACACTGCCCTATCCCATCTGGACAAGAGGAATACCTATGTAAGAATGCTGTTCATCGACTACAGCTTAGCCTTCAACACCATAGTACCCTCCAAGCTCATCATTAAGCTCGAGGACATGGGTCTGAACCCCGCCCTGTGCAACTGGGTCCTGGACTTCCTAACGAGCCACCCCCAGGTGGTGAAGGTTGGCAACAACACCTCCACTACGCTGATCCTCAACACAGGGGCCCCTCAGGGGTGCTTGCTCAGCCCCCTCCTGTACTCCCTGTTCACCCATGACTGCTTGGCCACGCACGTCTCCAACTCAATCATCAAGTTTGCAGACGACACAACAGTGGTAGGCCTGATCACCAACAACAACGAGACAGCCTACACGGAGGAGGTGAGGGCCCTGACAGAGTGGTGCCAGGAAAATAACCTCTCCCTCAATGTCAACAAAACGAAGGAGCTGATTGTGGACTTCAGGAGACAGCAGAGGGAGCACGCCCCCCATCCTCATCGACAGGGCCGCAGTGGAGAAGGTGAAAAGCTTCAAGTTCCTCAGCGTACATATCACTGACAATCTGAAATGGTCCACCCACATAGACAGTGTGGTCAAGAAGGCGCAACAGCGCCTCTTCAACCTCAGGAGGCTGAAGAAATTCAGCTTGGCCCCTAAGACCCTCGCAAACTTCTACAGATGCACCATTGAGAGCATCCAGTCGGGCTGTATCATCGCCTGGGCTTGCCAGAGGGTGGTGCGGTCTGCCCAACGCATCAAGGGGGGCACACTGCCTGCCCTCCAGGACATCTACAGAACCCGGTGTCACAGAAGGCCAAGAAGATCATCAAGGACATCAGCCACCTGAACCACGGCCTGTTCTCCCCGCTACCATCCAGAAGGTGAGGTCAGTACAGGTGCATCAAAGATGGGACCGAGAGACTGAAAAACAGCTTCTACCTCAAGGCCATAAGACTGCTAAATCGTCACCACTAGCCGGCCTCCGCCCAGTACCCTGCCCTGAACTTTAGTCACTGTCACTAGTCAGTGGTGGAAGTATTTTGTTTTAAATATACTTAAGTATCAAAAGTAAATGTAATTGCAGAAATGTACTTAAGTATCAAAAATGTAAAAGTACAAGTATAAATCATTTCAAATTCCTTATATTAAGCAAACCAGATGGCACAATTGTTCGTGTTTTTTAAATTACGGATAGCCAAGGGCACACTCCAACACTCAGACATCATTCAGAAACAAAGCAATTGTGTTTATTGAGTCTCCAGATACAGAGGCAGTAGAGATGACCAGGGATATTCTCTTGATAAGTGCGTGAATTGGACCATTTCTGTCCTGCTAAGCATTCAAAATGTAACAAGTTGTTTTGGGTGTCAGGGAAAATGTATGGAGTAAAGAGTACATCATTTTATTTAGGAATATAAATGGTAAAGTACAGTACAGATACCCAAAAAAACTACTTAAGTAGTACTTTACACCACTGTCAATAGTTGGCTACCACCTGGTTACTCTACAATGCACCTTAGAGGCTTCTGCCCTATGTACTTAGTCATGGAACACTGGTCACTTTAATAATGAAACACTGGTCACTTTAATAATGTTTAGATACTGTTTTACCCACTTCATATGTATATACTGTATTCTAGTCAAGGCCTATCCTACTTAACTATTGCTGTACATATACAATTTTTCAGATACAGTGAGGGAAAAAAGTATTTGATCCCCTGCTGATTTTGTACGTTTGCCCACTGACAAAGAAATGATCAGTCTATAATTTTAATGGTAGATTTATTTGAACAGTGAGAGACAGAATAACAACAAAAAAATCCAGAAAAACGCATGTCAAAAATGTTATAAATGGATTTGCATTTTAATGAGGGAAATAAGTATTTGACCCCTCTGTAAAACATGACTTAGTACTTGGTGGCAAAACCCTTGTTGGCAATCACAGAGGTCAGATGTTTCTTGTAGTTGGCCACCAAGTTTGCACACATCTCAGGAGGGATTTTGTTCCCCTCCTCTTTGCAGATCTTCTCCAAGTCATTAAGGTTTCGAGGCTGAAATTTGGCAACTCGAACCTTCAGCTCCCTCCACAGATTCTCTATGGGATTAAAGTCTGGAGACTGGCTAGGCCACTCCAGGACCTTAATGTGCTTCTTCTTGAGCCACTCCTTTGTTATCTTGGCCGTGTGTTATGGGTCATTGTCATGCTGGAATACCCATCCACGACCCATTTTCAATGCCCTGGCTGAGGGAAGGAGGTTCTCTCCCAAGATTTGACGGTACATGGCCCTGTCCATCGTCCCTTTGATGCGGTGAAGTTGTCCTGTCCCCTTAGCAGAAAAACACCCCCAAAGCATAATGTTTCCACCTCCATGTTTGACGGTGGGGATGGTGTTCTTGGGGTCATAGGCAGCATTCCTCCTCCTCCAAACACGGCGAGTTGAGTTGATGCCAAAGAGCTCGATTTTGGTCTCATCTGACCACAACACTTTCACCCAGTTCTCCTCTGAATCATTCAGATGTTCATTGGCAAACTTCAGACGGGCATGTATATGTGCTTTCTTGAGCAGGGGGACCTTGCGGGCGCTTCAGGATTTCAGTCCTTCACGGCGTAGTGTGTTACCAATTGTTTTCTTGGTGACTATGGTCCCAGCTGCCTTGAGATCATTGACAAGATCCTCCTGTGTAGTTCTGGGCTGATTCCTCACCGTTCTCATGATCATTGCAACTCCACGAGGTGAGATCTTGCATGGAGCCCCAGGCCGAGGGAGATTGACAGTTATTTTGTGTTTCTTCCATTTGCGAATAATCGCACCAACTGTTGTCACCTTCTCACCAAGCTGCTTGGCGATGGTCTTGTAGCCCATTCCAGCCTTGTGTAGGTCTACAATATTGTCCCTGACATCCTTGGAGAGCTCTTTGGTCTTGGCCATGGTGGAGAGTTTGGAATCTGATTGATTGATTGCTTCTGTGGACAGGTGTCTTTTATACAGGTAACAAACTGAGATTAGGAGCACTCCCTTTAAGAGTGTGCTCCTAATCTCAGCTCGTTACCTTATAAAAGACACCTGGGAGCCAGAAATCTTTCTGATTGAGAGGGGATCAAATCCTTATTTCCCTCATTAAAATGCAAATCAATTTATAAAATTTTTGACATGCGTTTTTCTGGATTTCTTTGTTGTTATTCTGTCTCTCACTGTTCAAATATTTGTACTCCAGACTACAACATTTCTCGTCCTAATATTTCTATACTTCTTAATTCCATTCTTTTACTTTTTAGATTTGTGTGTATTGTTGTGTATTGTTAGATATTACTGCACTGGTGGAGCTAGGAACACAAGCATTTCGCTACACCCACAATAACATATGCTAAATATGTTTATGCGACCAATACAATTTTATTTGATTTGAAGGCAAAACACAGTAATTACTGCTCTTTGCCTTTGTATGGCAGACCGGGTAAATGCAGTCAAAACATGGTGGAACAAAGCCAAAGTGCAGTAACTTCAGTTACTGCTGTTTGCTTTGGTTTTACTTGGATTTTGTTGTTACTGCAAATGTTACACTCTATTTTCTCTGAAACTGAACATAATTGAACCAGGACACTTTGTCACAAGATAAAACAGATACTATAAAGCCTGATTTCAGTCTTTAAAATGTAGTTACTACATTTTGCCTTTGTAGGGCAGAGTACTGGTCTTGTCTTTTTAGAAATCAGAAAGGGCACTTTGAATATGGGATTTTAGAATCTCTAAAAATACCAGACCAGTACTTCCTGGAAAAGTGTGATATCAGCATCTTTCGGTGGCCTCATTCACTCAGATGTTTCCATCCTCACACAGACAGCTCTCACTTCCCTACCAGATCCAGAAAAGTGCTGAACCTGCTAATGTTCCAGAAACACTGGGCAGTGCATTGCTAGGCTAACCATGTTAGCTAGCTACTCCATGTTTATGACACTGAATAGGGGAAACAGCCACTGTTTCCTTCAGTGCTACTCTCCTGCCAGGTCATATCACAGGGCCAGGCTTATACGCCTACTGTAATCATTTACAATCTGTAACATTCGCAGGAACTGAGTCAACTGCCAGGAATAAAAGTGATTAATTTAAATGAGGATGGAGGTAATAACAATGCCCCATGATGCTTTGAAATTAGACAGTTAGTAAGATGGTAGGTACCAGTGGTGTAAATTAACTAAGTAAAAATTATTTGAAGTACTACTTAAGTAGTTTTATTTGGGTATCTGTACTTTACTTTACTATTTATATTTTTGACAACATTTACTCCACTACATTTTAAAAGAAAATATGTACTTTTTACTCACATACAATTTTCCTGACACACAAAAGTACTTGTTACATTTTGAATGCTCAGGCAGAACAGCAATATGGTCAAATTTACGCACCTATCAATGTAACACGTTGTCATCCCTACTGCCTATGACCTGGTGGACTCACTAAACATAAATACTCTGTAAATTATGTCTGAATGTTGGAGTGTGCCCCTGGCTGTCCGTACATTTAAAAAAAAAAAGAAAAGAAAATCATGCCATCTGGTTTGCTTAATACAAGGAATTTGATGTATAGCGTTTACTTTTACTTTTACTCAAGTATGACAATTGAGTACTTTTTCAACCACTGTACTTAAGTACATTTAAAACCAGATACCTTTAGACTTTTACTCAGGTATTATTTTACTGGGTGACTTTCACTTTTACTTGAGTCATTTTCTATTAAGGTATCTTTACTTTTACTCAAGTATGACAATTGAGTACTTTCTCCACCACTGGTAGGTGCGTGCATCAACCAACACAAGTCGAAGTGTAGACGAAAAAAGGGGAAGAAACATACAAAACCTCTGGCTTCTTACACACCCAAAAGACATCAAAGCCGGCTATAGAGGGAAGAAGTTGGGGCAGTGTGTTCTTGAAGAGTTAGAACAGTCAGTCAGAGAGTAAATTGATACTTCTGCTAACTCAGCTATCATTATTCTGACCAGCAGAAGTTCACAAGGCTAGAGAGACAGTGAAATAAGGGGAAGAAAAATGAACAGCTTTCCAAAGATACGCTATTCTAGTCCCTTTTTGAGTGCAATGTCTCTCACTCGCTTTAACACTTCAAAAGCCCCCTTTGTGCTGAGTGTCCATAACAGTGGCCGGCGGTTGGCCACGGTCAGAGTGACAGAATACGGTCAGAGTGACAGAATGCAGTCCCAGCCTGTGTCACCCCTGTGCAGCTGAATCAGTCTGGAGAAAAAAAACACTTGTTTTCACGGTTTTCCTATTCCCACAGCCAACATATGACCAGGGCTGTCAAAAGACCTCTTCAAAGGCATGTACTTTGATTCACAAACCAAGAGTAGGGTCAGGGTGACAACATGGGCACTTCACTGCAACAGCACAGAGGTTAGAAATAAAAATAAAAATATGGGGTAAAGATGAGAGACATAAATATCTCTACAAGCTTGGGGGATTGACATACAGTGCCTTCAGAAAGTATTCACATTATGTCAAAGTGGAATTATGTTTTTAGAAATGTTTTCAAATGAATAAAAAATGAAAAGCTGAAATGTCTTGATTCAATTATTCAACCCCTTTGAAAATAGGCAAGCCTAAATAAGTTCAGGAGTAAAAATGTGCTTAACAAATCACATAATAAGTTGTATCGACACACTCTATTTGCAATAATAGTGTTTAACATGATTTTTGAATGACTACCTCATCTCTGTACCCCACACATACAATTACAGTATCTGTAAGGTCCCTAAATCGAGCAGTGAATTTCAAACACAGATTCAACCACAAAGACCAGAGAGGTTTTCCAATGCTTTGTAAAGAAGGGCACCTATTGGTAGATGGGTAAAAATAAAAATAAAGCAGACATTGAATATCCCTTTGAGCATGGTGAAGTTTTTAATTACACTTTGGTTGGTGCATCCATACACCCAGTCACTACAACGATACAGGACTCCTTCCTAACTTAGTTGCCGGAGAGAAAGGAAACCGCTTAGGCATTTCACCATGATGCCAATGGTGACTTTAAAACAGTTACAGAGTTTAATGGCTGTGATAGGAGAAAACTGAGAATGGATCAAAAACATTGTAATTACTCCACAATACTAACCAAATTGACAGAGTGAAAAGGAAGCCTGTACAGAATAAAAATATTCCAAACCATGTATCTTGTTTGCAACAAGGCACTAAAGTAATACTGCAAAAAATCAAATAAAACACATTACTGAGTACCACCATATTTTCTAGCATAGTGGTGGCTGCATTATGTTATTGGTATGCTTGTAATCGTTAAGGACAAGGGAGATCTTCTGGATAAAAAATAAATGGAATGGAGCTAAGCACAGGCAAAATCCTAGAGGAAAACCTGGTTCAGTCTGCTTTCCACCAGACACTGGGAGATTAATTCACCTTTCAGCAGGACAATAACCTAATACACAAGGCTAAATCTACACTGAAGTTGCTTACCAATAAGACAGTAAATGTTCCTGAGTGGCCGAGTTACAGTTTTGACTTAAATCTACTTGAAAATCTATGGCAAGATCTGAAAATTGTTGTCTAGCAATGATCAACAACCAATTTGACAGAGCTTGAAAAATTTTGAAAAGAATAATGGGCAAATGTTGCACAATCCAGGTGTGGCAAGCTCTTAGAGACTTACCCAGAAAGACTCACAGCTGTAATCGCTGCCAAAGGTGCTCCTACAAAGTAATGACTCAGGGGTGTGAATACTAATTTGCAAAAATTGTCATGTTGGGGTATTGTGTGTAGATGGGTGAGAAAAAAAAGCAATTTAATCCATTTTGAATTCAGGCTGTAACACAACAAAATGTGGAATAAATCAAGGGGTATGAATACTTTCTGCAGGCACTGTAACACTGCCAGGCCATGCCCGTGGGACACACAGGGCAGAGAAAGAGGCTTACATTTCCTAATGTATTATTTTTCATCTGAACACCAAAGCCTGAGACCCTTAAGGAATTTTCGCCTCTCTGACAGACAAAGAGGACAGCTTGGTGCCCACTCTGAGAGCCATGTGGAGGAATGCACAAAACATCTGTTGATCGGAAGTGGCACAGAAAAGAAAAGAAAAGATGCACAACTTCAGATACCAAAATCCTTCATGGAAACCAATTGAGGCCAAATCATTTTCATTAGGAAAGCAATAGACATTGGTGTGTTGATTGATAACCTGAACCAGGTTGCAGGCACTAGTTACAGTTTGAAGCTTTCTCTTGAGTGGGCAGCCTGATGAAAGCCAGTCAATATTTAAATCACCCAGAAAGTATACCTCTCTTTCACATTATCAAGCATTTCACACATGTTATCCAGATACTGACTGTTAACACTTGGTGGTCTATAGCAGCTTCCCACCAGAATGGGCTTTAGGTGAGGCAGGTGAACCTGTAGCCATATTACTTCAACAGTATTTAACATGAGATCCTCTCTAAGCTTTACAGGAATGTGGTTCTGAATATAGACCGCAACACCGCCCCCGTTGGCATTTCTGTATTTTCTGTAAATATTATAACCTTATATTGCTACCACTGTATCATCAAAGGTATTATCTAAGTGAGTTTCAGAGATTGTCAGAATATGAATGTCATCTGTTACTAGTAAAGTATTGATTTCATGAACCTTGTTTCTTAAGCTATATATGTTAATGTGGGCTATTTTTAACTCTTTTCTGGGATGTTTGATTATTTTTCTTGCTTTACTGGGAAGCTTGGCAGAGGTAGACATACTCAGGTTATTTTTATTAGTGCAGGGTGAGCTGCACACAGTGGACTTTCTACTAGGGCACACCACCTCAGTGCTAACAGTATTACTCTGGTTCATAGGCATATGATTACTGCATACAATAGCTGTAGGATCTGCAGAGGCATTCCGGGCAGTAAGAGGGACATAAATTAGGTTATTTACATTGTGTCTTCCAACGCCCCTAGGATAATGTACATTTGCTGAAGCATTATGACAACTCAGCGACACAATGGTAGGGATTAAATGAGCTGGACTTGGGTCATTGAAAAATCATGGTCTCAACGCAGCCTTATAATGCTGTGAAAGGATCCAGGAACCCAAATGATTTGGGTGGATCCTATTCTCCTTATAATACAAGCTTTGTTTCCCACCCACCCCATCTATGATAGGGGGAACAATTCTGGTCAGGATTTATGGTCTCAGTACAGTGACAATAGTTCCAGTATATGAGTCAGGGAGTAGTTGCTTACTCATTTGTCGATCGCCGTAGCTGATGGCTTCAGCGAGGGGACTCCATCCCTGAGCGTTCTTCACCTTCACTGGTGCATTGTGGGCCAGCAGCAGATGGGCACACTCTGTGGGAAAAAGAGACAAGCGGAAACAGTAATTGACTTACAGCTCATTACAGAGAGAGACAGAGCTAGTGGGGGAGAGCACTGCTTGTTGATTAATTGACAATTTGTCAATGGTTAATCTGATTTGCGCTCCTACATGGCCCAGTGTGGACCAACTAGAGGGGACAAGGGTCAAGCATGGAAAAGACATTCAATTATTGACCTCCAGAATATTTAACAAGTGGGTTCTGTGTAACGGTTTCTTCATAGCCTAAAGCCTGGAACGAGCAAAGAATGACAAGTCAATAGTACACCATGTTTCCCACCAAAGGCGTCCCACCAGCCCTCCATTGTGAAGTATTTCATTCAATCTCCACTGAGCTTTCCCATCAAACAGACAAAAGAGGCCCTGCAAGCTAATTTTAACTCCAACCTGACACCATGCCCATGTCAGAACAAGCTCTAATTTAGACTCTTAACTTCCCTTCTCCAGGGAAAGCTTCCAAAAATGGAAGTCTGCAATAAAGTGACACATTGTGTATGCTTCACTTCAAATATGATTAACTTCAAATTCATATATTTACTGTAAAATGCAACATTTTGGTCACATAGACCTTCGGAAAGGCCTCCCAGTCCGACTATTTTATCAGGATTTTATAAAGGGAATGTATTATACTGTCATACATTCAACTGTGAGGCTATCTCTTTTCTGTGTACAACTTTTCATGTTGATTAATAAAGGAGCCAAATGCTTTGTAGTAATAGAGCATCATTTATCTAAACTTGAGAATGGTGGAGGGTCAGATAGGGAGTAAGAATGGGATGGAAATAGAAGGGTCATTCCACGAAATGAGTCCGTTTTGCATCCCTTTGATATTCTAAGTAGAAATTGTGCACCAATATTGGATTTTAAAAGTCTGTATATTAAATGAAATGCTATTTAATATAGAGACCACATGGACAATTCAATACATCAGATGTTTTATATGAATAAAGACTTGGTAATGTGCCAGAATTCAGCATGTCCCTCTGTGCAGTCTTTATGACTTCTTGGAAGAGTTTAACCCACTTAACCCCAAAGTTTCTCCAAGTTTTCACCGTCATTGTAAAGCCCTAGTTATTTTGTTGCTTTGACAAAGTCATTTCTGAAGATTATTATTTATTTCATGTGATTAGTGATTCATTTTAAGAAAAAAAAGAAAGAAAGAAACTGTCCCTCATTTTATGGTCAACCCTGTGAACTAAACTCTTGTTTTAATATGGTGAAACTCAGTAGCGGTTAGTGGGTAAAATCATAGGGGAAGCCAAGCGAGAATAAAAAGCCATATTACAACCTGTGTTGTGATAATTGCGTTGTTTGCTCTATAACCTGTTAGTTCGTATGCCTTGCCACGTGATATATAGGCCTAAGGTCGAGACAATAAGAACACTAAATCATAACCACAACTTTGTTTCATCACAAAACCGGAGAGCAACCTCTGTCCAGTGAAGTACACCAAGCATATTGCATGTAACAAACAGTTACATGACCTACAGCATGGTAAAGTAAGTTAATGTTTTCGACATTTTCGGACTACTAAACAACTATTGATTTACAACCACAGAGAGTTACCGCAAGTAGCAAAGAAAACAGGAGTAAAACCACAAGTACAAATCCATGGCTAATTTAGGAAAGGGACAATTTTAGCTTAAAGGACAACGACACAACGAGATGCAACAATGCATGTTTTTTCTGTCAATTACGTTTAGCTTTTGATGTGATTGGTGTGAAGCCAATCACATCACATCACTTCCCTTGACACTTTTTTTTTGGTGCGCCCGGACCATTCACAGTTGAGCTCACTCAGTTTAGCTCAACACTGATTGGCTATTATTTTATACTTTTTATATCAAGGGAGGCCAAATGGCTGCTGGCTTCCCTTGCATTCAATGCTACAGGCGACAACAATGTCATACTCTTTTTGACCAGACAGCATCAAGTAGATGGGCTACACATACAGAGACAGAGGGGTGCTATTTTGCTCGCTCGGATGCTTTATCCGGTGAGATACATTCAGCCTCTTGCGAATTGAATGAAAATTATGAAACACTGAGAGACGAAAGATAAATGATTTCATATGTTTAAAAAACATTTTCTTGCAAAAAATTTTGGGGAAGCCTGGATTCTCTTGGCATCCATGAATACACGCCACTGGTGAAACGATTCATTTTTTATTATTATCAAAAGAAACACTGAACATCTAATAGTCAAATCATAGTGTAAAAGCAGGTGAGTTGGTTCTACTCTTTTTGGCCATTTTCTGGTGTTTTGTGGTGGCAAACTGAGTGGGTCGAGTAGAACACCTCAATCCTGTTACCCATAGATAGCCAGGCTAGAAATGTTTTAACATTTTTGTGAAGATTGCATTCAACTGCCCTTCCCTGTGGCATACAACAAGGGTCCACTTCCCCTGTCACGAGGGGATTTATGGCTTATTTAAGATGAAATCGTCAACCCTGTTACAGTCAACCCTGCTACTTTATTTGTCACTTAAATGGGAATAATGACACATTTCGGAAATGTGTCTAAGTGCCTAAACCTCTTTGACTCACTGTTGGACTGTCTGTCACAGTGCGCACCTCTCTCACTCAGGGAGAGCAGAGGCAGAGCTAGAGCTAGCTACGTCACAAGGTTATGTGCCCCCCTCCCCCTTATAGCCTTTTGTGCAATATATTAAAAAATTTGAACCAAAAAACAGCGACACCATTTAGGAGAGGTTGTGAGCACAGTGTTTCTGATCAGATCGACAATTATCTTTTAATGTATTTGTGTGTCTACAATGCCATCTTTACCGCACAGCATTTCTGCTTGGTTTTCAGATAAATGCATTGAAAGAGAGAAATGAAATAAGCTACTACCAAGGTCTGATGATGCTTCTGACAATATAGTAAATGACGTGTTGTGTTGGGTGATGTGCTAAAGTCTGATGTATTTTGAAAAAACGTCCGATTGGGCTTCCAAAATGTAGTATGATCGCTAAGTTAATTTTTTTCCGTAGATTTGCATTATTCCACAAAGTTCTATCTAGCGTTGCAATAACATAACCTAGTGACGTAGCTAGCTGTAGTTCTACCACCACTCTCCCTGAGTGAGAGAGGTGCGCACTGTGACAGACAGTCCAACAATGAGTCAAAGAGGTTTAGGCACAAATTTCCGAAATGTTCCGTTATTCCCCTTACTATAATCCAGTTTTTATTTTACCTCTTAAAATGGGAAAACATGTTTTTTATTAAGTTGAACATGTGTTCGTCATGACAAAATGTAAAAATTAAGTGAATGTTTTTATTACGAAGTTGCACTACCCAAAAGGGACTCATTTTGTGGAACGACCCAGAACTGTTCTGTTAAACAACATGACCTCATGCATTCATACAGGCTTATAACTTTAAAGCTAGGATCCCTTCCGATGAGCCATACACAAACAACACATCTGGCTCTGCAATGTCAAACAACCATCCCACTTAGCATAGACGTCAGTTCAGAGTCTAGTTTTGATTTGCATTTGCTTGGGTTTACAACTAATGTGAATTCAACGTGAAATCAACAAAAAAAGGTCACGTCATTGGATTTAGGTTCAAAGTTAGGTGAAAAAAATACGAAATGCCCTTACGTTGATGACTTTTTGCAAATCCAATCAGTTTTCCACGTTGATTCAATGTCATCACATTGATTTTTGTGGGGTTGAAATAACATGGAAACAATGTTGATTCAACCAGTTTTTGCCCAGTGGGATGAAGTCTGTAGGAAATTAGATTTTTTATCTCTGGCTTGACCAGAACATATCCTAGGCCAGGAAGACAGACATCAATTCATATGTACTCTGTTGGGACAATACAATAGCCCAAACCCCCAGGCCTTGCCTATATTTATACAGCAAGCAGCACAGCAGTGAGTGAATTACAGAAGTTCTCTATTTCCTGGGTTGGGCACCTTGTCAACAACAACAGAGAGACAAAATGGAGCCCGTTGTTCCGACTGTCAATATAATCTCTAATTAAAATGGTGGCCTCCATGCAACTCTGTTTCAGTTTTGGCTAATGCCATTTATAGCACCAAACAAGCAAGTCAAATGCATTGACGAGATTCACATACAAAAGATAAGCGGAAATTGTCAACAATCCGCTGAATGGAAAATATATAGGCCAGGCGTTTCATGGGCAGGAACTGGGACTTTCATCACTCCTTGTTTGGCAACCTGTTACAATGGATGACTCTAATCATTGAACAAAAGCCACATGGATGCTCTTCTGTGTGGAACAATAATGTTATTCTTTATCCTGGGCACGTGGGTCAACCAGACAACCCTGTTACCCAACTAATTGAACCCTCTTTCATTCAAGTCTAAACGTATTGTTCTGCCTTGTTACTCTGCCAAACGTCACAGAAAATGCCCAAGACATGCCTCCCTTAGTCATGAGAATGGGAAATTATCCTCCTGACAGGCACAACAGTCAAACAGACAGTTTGTATTTCTGGAGGTTGTGTCTTCCACACAATTAGATGGCAGAAAAAAATACACTCTCTGTGCATGAGAACATCTTAGTGATGCTCTCACAGCGAATGCTCTGATCTGCAGGTAATTGCCAAAATAAAGGAAACACCAACATAAAGTGTCTTAATAGGACGTTGGGCCACCACGAGCCAGAAAAACTTAAATGCGCCTTGTCATAGTTTCTAGAAGTGTCTGGAACTCTACTGGAGGGATGCGACCCCATTCTTCCACAAGAAATTCCATCATTTGGTGTTTTGTTGATGGTGGTGGAAAACACTGTTTCAGGCACCACTCCAGAATCTCCCATAATTCTGAGATGGCCATGGCATATGGTTTACATAGTTTTCATGCTCATCAAACCATTCAGTGATCACTCATGCTCTGTGGATGGAGGCATTGTCATCCTACGGGGTCCTTGACACTCCTTGTCATTGCCAAAGAGACTGGCCTTTCTGCCAACTTCAGATATGAACATTCTATAATTCATGAGATCGAGGAGAACAGAGGAGTTGATCCTAATTTGATAACCCTCACAGCTATCCTCCAATCACAACAATTATCCAAATATTGGAACTCTAACACTTTTTTTGTCTCCACAGAACACATTGGTAGCCGGTTGCTAAGCAACCGTTTTTTGTTTGTCCAGACAAAACCAGTCAGTCAAAAGTTGCTAGCTGAAGTCTAAATTAGTGGTGCACGACTCCAGGATTTTTGTAGTCGACTCCGACTCCTGTGGTTGGAGTCGCTAGCTCACTCTTTCTTTGCTGTGAAAGATGCGAGAGTTTGTGTTCTCGAAGTAGACTACAGCAACTTGTTTCC